AAATATGTCACAACGCTGGAGAAAAGTCGTTTGCAACTTCCGGTTCACGGGGACTTTAACCGGTTTGGCACAGTCACAGACTACCCAACATTGGGTTACAGGCTGAGTAGGTATGACCCAGCAACTGAGTAACAGAAAAACTACCCAGTACTAGTTAAAAATATAAATAAATAACCCAATAAAACACCCAGCAGGCACTGAACCCAGCATTTGGGTTTAAAAAACAACCCAGCATTTTTTTAGTGCACCGATACTTCAAAACGTAAACGAATTGTCATGAGCATAATGCAGTTTACTGTACTGTAATTCCCTTTGGATAAAAGTGATACACGACTTACTGAATTAATAAATTGCAAATTATCTATTGCAAAATTGCAACAGGAAAGAGATAAAGCATTTCATTACACAAATGTAGCCTAATTTACTCATGTCTTCCTCATTCTATTCTAGACTAGGGCCTGCGCCTCAAGATTTTGCGAGGGAAAACCAGAAACTCGATGTGAGAAAAAGCCCACGCAGGCTTTAGAAATTCTTTTTGACCACTTCACTTTTCTGTGTTCCATTATAAGAACATGGAAAGTAATCGAGGTAACATTACACACAGATCTTCAGTAATCGAGGTAACATTACACACAGATCTTCAGTAATCGAGGTAACATTACACACAGATCTTCAGTGAAATAGCGATTTTTTTCAAAGCTAATTGGCATGTCATCATAGGACTGAAAGTTCAAACGAAATGGTTTTCCTGTTATTATCTATCAAATCAATTTAAATTCCGACAAACATCAGTTTCGCTATGTCTTGGATGGCATTGCGTCGGTTAACATCAAGGCAAGTGATGCTTTTCCACTAACTTCACTTTTATGATACATTTTTTTCCATGACTTAGCAAATAGCTTACTCACTCAAGGAAATGATATACATGTATGTATGTGTGACGGTGTCCTTCTTCCACATGCAGCTGCATTGTTGCACAAAGGAAACATTTAGAGTAAAAGAGATAACCTGTTCCTTTCTGCATTAGGAACACTTTTGGGTATAAGGTATACTCCCTTGTATGGTAGGAACAGATTTTTCAAAAGCAAATATCTGAATCCTTAGATGATGATAACACCAAACAGCACAATCGCCACTTCCCTTTCATGAAAGTGACAGCACAATCAGGAAAGTGTGAAGTTGCCCACAGTCATGTTGTCTGAGATTGTCATTTCCTGCCCACAATCGCATCATGCTCTGACTTTTTAAAAGCAACTTTATCAGATTCATAAGGAGATTCTTCATAAGGTGTGGTGACAATTCACAGATAAAGTGGTTAGTTAGCGATGGGTATTTTCAATGACCAGTATAAAATTCTGCCTTGTGCATCATAAACTTTTCCATATAGCCTACGTGCACCTTTATCTCTAACCGGATAGATACACATAAAAATGACGTTTGTTTGCTTTTGAATGGACAGGATGTATTTTTGAATAAACTATATATACCATGGTCTGTCTGAATACTCGATTCTGATTGGCTGGAAGGTGTGCGGTTAGTAAGGGATAATCCACGGCTAGTTGTGCATTAAACGATTTTAATGCATGATGTGGAGGCAAAGAATCGCCCGATGCAAAATGGAGGGTGGTTGCCTCCGAGAAGTGCATTCAAATCGTTTAATGTGATCAACACATGACACTATATGTTTAGTTTTAAAAACAAAAACGGTTTATTAGATGTGATTATGAACAAACACTATAGGCTATGTTTGTTTTCAGTTTATTATATGGGTGTTTTTTTCTTTTTTCTTTAGATAACCGCATGACAGTTTGGCATAATGTGATGATAATAAAAGTTAACTTATTTGTTAAAAGAGTGAAAACTTATTTGCACTCTTGTGCTTTTAATGTCTTTTGAATGTTTATTTTAATTTTGGGGACCTAGATATTTCTTGTACAGCACTTTGGTCAACCAAGGTTGTTTTATATGTGCTTTATAAATAAATTAAACTTGAAACTAGGTTTTTCAATGAACAATCAATTGAAATAAAATATTTAGTTTTTTTAATTAGTTTAGTTTCTGCTGAAAATGACATGATTGTACATGAGATGGTTCACCCTGTTGTTGATGAGCTCTCATATACTGAAGTCTAAATACACATGCATTAATAGGAGTAACAAAAAACTTGATTTGATAGATTTTTTCCTCATAAATTTCAAGGCCTGTTTTTATTGTATTACAGTACATGGCTAATCATAAGATGCTTTCTGAGAGATGTAGCAATAATAGTCGAATGTCACACTGTCTGTTGATTTCAATCACAATCTGACTAAATACAATAATATTTGCTATTGATTCTGAATTGATGGGAGTTGGAAAAGAATGATTTTAGTATGTCACATTTTGTTTTGTTATCAGGGTGTAAACTCACATCAACAACTGCTGCCATTGTCTGTCTTCACGCTTCACTCCCACGTCGCTATTACAGCTTTTCTCACATAGAAAATGACCAAAAATATGTATGACTTTTGCACAACACAATTGTTTTTCCATGAATGCTTTCTGGGAACGAGAATGTCCCTTCCACTAATACAACCCGCAACAACTAAATTTAAAATGCAATGCAATTCCTTCATAATGACTTATAATAGACATTACATAAGCAGTGGATCAACCCCACTTTTCATGTGTTATGTGGTAACACTTTAGTTTAGGACCCAATTCTCACTATAACTAGTTTCTCATTAGCATGCATATTACTATGATATTGGCTGTTTATTATTATTTATAAAGCGCATATTCTACATCCTTTAACAATATTAACCATTCATTGATAATATTATAATACCTACATTACTACCTTACTAACTATTAATAAGCAGTAAAGTAATTAGTTTGAGTTTGAGTCAAAAGTCTCGTCTCTACATGACACTACAGTACAGACTATCATGCTACTTACCCGCTACCTGAGTTCCAGCCATCGATCACCTGCTAACCTTCACACGGAAGTTCAGTCTCCAGTCTCCGGTCATCAGCCTGTTCCCAGTGACTCTCCATCCGCATCTGTAAACAAAGACTATGGTTATCCTTCAGCTAAGTTCCATCCTGAATATCCTGCTTGCATACTCACCTTATCTCTGTCTGGATCTGCAACCTGTAAATAAACACTATTTCACTTACCACCTGTCTGACTCCTGCTCCATTCGTGACACACAGACATATATGTGTGTGTATATCATGTATTATGCATGCAGAAGTAATTGTCGTTTTAACTTTGTAAAGAAAGACAAAACGCACCCACAAACACATGCCTTAATGTGGGTTTTTAAAGAGGAGGCACACAAAAATTTAGCAGTCGGATTTTTTAACTACTTTAACATGGCTTTTTTTGGTCACTTATAGACCTGAATATTTATAGAAAACGACACAGGCATCAAGACAATATACATATAAGTTACCTTACCTATAGACCTAGTCTACCACTTGAAACAAAAAAAAAATCATTCCTTATGTCTTTTTAAATGTTCATGTTAAAAGAGCACGTTCAGTCGTTTAGTGAAGCTGATTGCTGTAGCCTATTCAACTTAAGCATAGGGTCTTCCTTCATTTTGATTTTGTAGCTGTTGTTTGAATGGTAGTTTAGTAAATTTGTCTGCGGTCAAATATTCAATATCTCTACTCTCCATCAGCGGTAGCAGGTCAATCTAATATCACGTAATTTACGTCTCGTCGATGATTGGTTGTTGATATACCAAGGGAGGCTAGCCTCCTCAAAGACATGATAATACATACACTGACTGCTACATACATTGCACATGACATGATCACATGACAAAGGGAAACACATGGCAAACCAGGAAACATGAACATGAAACAAAAACCAAAACTATACATTAGATACAATCATCTAACAAAGTTTCAAATAAATATGCTGCTGTGATTAGATTTCTGATAAAACTCATTAAATTTTTACTAAACATATGATGTACCCATTATTATATATTTTACTTGTTAACTAATGCTTTTATATATATATATATATATATATATATACACACATGCAGTGCATGCATATTAAAGTGATCACATCTAACTATAAGGTTTTTCCAAGTGTTGTGTGTATTCCAAGTGTGACTGTATGCATGACCCTTTAAACACAATTTCAACAAATGCCAAAATTATTTTTATAATTGTTTATTGATCAAGCAGCAGTTACAAATGTGTTATGCAATTCCTTTGACACTGTATAAAAAGTACCAAAAATGACATTAGTTAAATGCACCTAGTCTACAAAAAGCAAGAAAGAATAACAAATGCTCAGAATCTATACTGACCTTTACAAACAAAAGTTTTTACACACCAGTAACCTTGGTCTTTGCCAATATTGTAGAAATTAGATAAAAATGAACATATGAAAATAGCTCCTTTATGACATTGTAGTAACAAATATTTTTCCAAAATAGGTCACAAAACAGCAGCCTATTCTGACATTGAACAAATAACAAGTGAAACTGTAAGGCCACACTAGAGCTGGGCATGTTTAGAGCTCGCAAAAGAATCAAACAAGAATTTAAACAAAAAGAATCCCTCGTAACAGTTTGACTTCAGTATTTGCGATATGCTAGAAATGCTCATTCAAAAGTGATCAGTATAAATCACCATCAGTAACTGCTTTTCTAAGTGCGATGTTTAAATGACACCAAAAGTTGCAAAACCGTTTAAAATTCCTTTTGCTTGACCTTACGTAAAAATACAAATAAACTGATTCTGAAAACAACGGAAGATTTGTGCAATACACAAAGTATTTTTTTACGGAACATAAATGGCAGTAGGTAAACCAAACAGGGATTTCTGGTTATGTCTTATAATGACCCCTGCAATGAAGAAATAAATGTACAAAATCAATAGCGTCCTCTAATCTTACAATTCCGCTGAGAAAAAAGTGCTTCAAACAGTCTAGCATTAAAACGGTCATGTGAAGTAATACTGTGTTAGTGGCTCAAACAAGATCCACCGTGAAGGTCTTTTTCTACCGTCTATAAGCTGAAGATGCATTCAACCGCAGCCTCAACTGGACATGTCCTTCCTCTGAGCTTGAAGCATCTCGGTCACGCTCACAATATCTTCTTCTGGCACCTGAGGGAAAAAAAAGGTTTCAATTTAGATGACACAAAAACACAGGGATGATCACATCCCATCCAAATATGCATGAAATGACATGACTTTCACCAGATGTTGGTAAAAACCCAAGTAATCCATACATACAAAGAAACCAAAACAAATAAGTTCAGAAATTAAGTTATGTGTAATAATGTGAAATGACTCAGGGAAAAAGTATTGAACACATGAAGAAAGGGAGGTGCAAAAAGGCATGGAAAGCCAAGACGACAGCTGAAAACTATCAGTAATTAAAAAGCAATCCAGCCCCGTCAGTGTAAATTAATATCAGCTGGTTCAGTCCCAACTGAAGGCCTACAAAAAGGTCTCATTGCCAAGGTGTCACACAAGACACATCTCATGATGGGTAAAAGCAAAGAGCTGTCTTAAGACCTTCGCAACCTAATTGTTGCCAAACATAATGATGGCATTGGTATATAAGCTTCTGAATGTTCCAGTGAGCACTGTTGGGGCCATAATACGGAAGAAGTGGAAAGACAATCATTTCACCATAGATTTGCCTTGACCAGGTGCTCCTCGCAAGATTTCTGACAGAGGAGTGAAAAGAATAATCAAAGAGTTGTCCAAGAGCCAAGGACCACTTGTGGAGAGCTTCAAAAAGACCTGCAATTAGCAGGTACTGTTGTCTCAAAGAAAACAGTAAGTAATGACCTCCACCGCCATGGCCTGTATGCACGCTCACCACGCAAGACTCCATTGCTGAAAAACAAGCATGTTGAAGCTTGTTTAAAGTTTGCTGCACAACATTTGGAGAAGCCAGTGAAATACTGGGAGAATATAGTGTGGTCAGATGAGAGCAAAATTGAACTGTTTGGATGTCGTAATACACACCATGTTTGGAGGAGAAATGGCACTGCACATCACCCTAAAAACACCATACCAACAGTGAAGTTTGGAGGTGGGAGCATCATGGTGTGGGGCTGCTTTTCAGCAAATGGTACTGGCAAACTTCACATAATTGAAGAAAGGATGAATGGGCAAATTTGACGAGACATTCTTGACAAAAATCTGCTGCCATCTACCAGGATGATGAAGATGAAACGAGAGTGGACATTTCAGCAAGACAATGATCCCAAACACACAGCCAAGGAAACTCTCAAATGGTTTCAAAGAAAGAAAATAAAGCTGCTAGAATGGCCCAGCCAATCACCTGACTAAAATCCCATTGAAAATCTATGGAAAGAACTGAAGATCAAGATTCATAGAAGAGGCCCACGGAACCTTTAAGATTTGAAGACTTTGTGGAAGAATGGGCCAAACTCACACCAGAGCAATGCATGCGACTAGTTTCTCCATACAGGAGGCGTCTTGAAGCTGTCATTACCAACAAAGGCTTTTGTACAAAGTATTAAAGCTCCTGTAGGTAACTTTTAAAAAACATGTATTTGCTAAAACTGTCATTATGTCCTGACAGTAGAATATGAGACAGATATTCTGTGTAAAAATCAAGCTCCTCTGGCTCCTCCCAGAGGTCCTATTGCCATTTGCAAGAAATACACGCTCCCGGTCAGAAACAACCAATCAGAGCCAGGGGGAGTGTCTTAGCACTGTCAATCACGCTCGTGTACGCGCTGATCGCACCCCTCTCTTGCACAGCGCGAGCACCGGAGCGCGAGCCGTCGTTCAAACTCAAGATTGCCGGCGTGCTGCAGCTGTGCTTATGACGGAGAAACAACCTAAACTGCCAATTCTCGAGTGACACCTGCTCATAAAACAAAGAGGTAAAAGGAAAAAGACTGATGACGATAAACAAGCGAAAAAGAAAGAATTACACAGTTGACTCGGTGTCAAAACTCTAGCCGCATAACATGTAGATAAAATGTCACGCACTCTGCTAAGCAACATGACAAGCCAGTGAATTAGCAGGTTTCAATTGTTGCTTAGCAGAGTGCGTGACATTTTATCTACATGTTATGCAGCTAGAGTTTTGACACCGAGTCAACTGTGTAATTCTTTCTTTTTCGCCTGAAATAATGTACTAGCACACCTTATCTAGCATTATATATCGCTAGAATAATTACTTACATACTGTAACGTTAGTTACCGTTATATTAACGTTATCTTACTAGCTATTTATAACTTATAGAAAGAGTGCAACGTTATAAAATTACATGTAGGCTATTGGAAAATACATAATGATTTGAGGACCAAGTTTGTAGTCAAAGTATGGGCAGGCCATAGTCAATGTAAAGCATATTATTGACGTTTAGTCCCTATTAGTGAATGTGCCATATAACTTTTTATCCGCCGTCATCGGTGGCCCTGTTTACTAGCCTGCGCGTTCACGACAGGCTCCGCTGTGGAGGGCGAGCTGTGGAGGGAGGGCTGTAGCGCAGCAGAGAGCAAGGGGGTGGGACCTGTAAGTTGTGCTTGTTCAAATTTTCAGGCTAAGTCAACGTTTTCTCCAAACTCCCTACTGCAGCTTTAAATAAATATCAGTAAGCGTGTTCAATACTTTTTCCCTGTGTCATTCATTTCACATTATTACACATAACTTAATTTCTGAACTTATTTGTTTTGGTTTCTTTGTATTTATGGATTATTGTGAAAAATTCATGTCAATAGCACCTTTGGAAATATATTTACTGAGAAAAATGGTGACGTGTTCAATACTTATTTCACACGCTGTATATATATAGAGATTTTTATTTTTAATTTTTTTTAAAGCCTGACACTCAAGGAAAAAAAGAAGTATCCATCATGATTCATTGAAATCAGCGAGACACGATTCTGTCATGAAGGGTTTTTAGGAAGTTTTTCACATGCATGGACATGCCATACACAGAACCGCTATTGTCACGGCCTTGCCTGGCTCCTCCTCCTGGCTGTGTTCTGTGTCTGTCTCCTACAGGTGAGCTGGGTGCAGGTGTTTGGAGTTGTGCTAATTAGTTCCTGGTCTGGGCCTTTAAAGATGCTTCAGATGAGACCGGGCAGAACCAGCCTCCGTTTGCATCTCTCCCGCACCGTTTAGGATTTTTGTTTTGCTTATTCATTTCATTGCACTACACTGATTGCTTACATGTTTATTTTTGTCAAAGCCAACTTCATTACTGGCTGTACAAAGTATATTCTGTTAAAATTCTATTAATTTAATAAATCTAGTATATTCCTATTCCGTGTGTGACCTTTCCCTATACTCTGTTGCTTGCTTTGAGCCAGGCTCGTAACACTATACATAGAGTACATTAATGATGATGTAATCCATCAGTGCAAGCCAGTGAAGTCCCCGCCACCACAATTGTATGTTCACATATGACCTCATAGTAAAAGAAGTAGTATGAGGAACTGGCCAAACTATTTCTGCCAGCAATTTCCTTGAAGTACCCTTAGATTTTAAGCTAATATTTAAGCGTTTTATTTTCAAATTATACATTGCCTATATACTATAGGGCTGTATGATTTGGCCCAAAAACATTATCTTGTAGTCATTTTGTCACATATTGCGACTAGGGCTGCCACTTTTGTGAAAAAATCCTGATCGATTTTTGAGACATAAATGTTCATTGAATCGATTGTAAAATCGATTTTCCATGTCTAAAGACGTTTACATTTTCAGCGCCAAATATAGGCAAATCCACGGACAACTAACAGGCATTAGGACGAACGTAAAGAGTGCGCTTGAGACGCGCACAAGTCAGCAATATTTCTGATGATTTATTGGCATGAAGTTTCGTGCACAATGACAAACAGGAGTGCAAGATTCTCGAAAAACAATAAGCAGAGTGGACTGCCATAACATCAATGAAAAACATTACTGCAGGCTTCAATATGGCTGTGTTTATGATTAGAAATGTCAAACAAATTTCGCCTACATAGGCGATTGTAGGCCGAATCTGTATCTGTATGCATGAGACTGTCTGAATACCGGCAGAATTCACATTTTTGTTGTAAAAAGAGACACATTATGCAGAAGTGAAGTATAGTATAGTTTGTATGTGTGTTTGTCAGAGCCTGCAGTTGCTGTGTGACACGCGTTCGCTGCGGGCGTGTCATGACGAGCTGGACGCGCTCCGAGAGAAGGCTGTTAAAATCGATTCCCTATTTTCGTTTTCGATACTTGTGTTGGTTGGTCCGATCGATTGTGCAATCGATTTTCGAACATAAAGTGACAGCCCTAATTGCGACTGTGTTTGTACTGCAATATGACATTTCATTTCATATGAACATGGCTCATATTGCTACTGCAAAGACATCTAGACACAAAAAACACAAAGGCTACAGACCAAAAAACCAACACACACTACAGCTTACAATACAAATGTTTATGTCTTATTCTTCACTTTCAAATGTTCAAACCCTTGAGCTTTTAACATGTCAAATCCTCAAGCTTTTATTTTGGTGGGATATTGGCGAAACACAAACGTTGGAAATGCAAATGTGAGTACAAGTAAAGCGAATAGCGCACATTTCATTCCCAAATGCACTTTAAAATCACAGCGCTTGCAGAGATGGGGTTTTACTGTGAGTCGCTCTGAAAAAAACAGTATTATAAGCTGAATTATGTGTTATAAACATAATTCTCTTCACTCTAAAAAAATGCCTTTAATTAAATCGCAGTCTTTGATTTGAATATTGCAATTTAAAAAGCTATATTTCAGTTTTATTTTAATTTAATTATGCATTTGCATTTATTTATTTTAATGTTACTTTGATTTGATTTTCTGCTGTAAGTAAAAGTTTAGCTCAACTCACACAACAATATTTATTTTATAATCTTTTATTTATTATGAGAAGAAAGAGACACAGTTTCTGCTAAAATTCTTATGGGTTTCCAGGAAAAGTGGAAAAGAATAGGAAACTGATTTAACATGACATAATGGAAATAAACAGAGGCGATGTTGCAGAAATCGTCCAATCAGAGCAGATTCAGAAATTCTTCTGTTTGCCGATTACTAGGCAACCACATGTCCTCCCTTTGGTCAATGTCACGTAAATTTCAAAAATAATTCAAATATACTAAATATAAATGCACTAAACTATGCATTCTGGACCTCTACAGACTGTAATTTAAGTAATCACAAAATAAACCCAAATTTATAATGCACTTATTTTGTATTATATTGAACATTGGGCACCCTGATCTCTAGAGGATTAGAAAACCCCCATCGGTTGACTATTACATAGAGCTCAAACATTATGTGTAACAAAAAGAGAGAGAAAATATCAAACTTACCAGAGCATGATCAAAGCTGAAGGTGCTGATGTAATACGCTGATATATCACTGTCTGCAAGAGGCTGGGAGATCTGAGCAACTATCCCACATTCATCTGCAAAAGGAGACAAAGAGTGAGATAACAGTCAATATTTGGAATAAATAAAAATTTCTGATTTTATATATACTTATATCGCCCAGCTAAACAAATTTCGCTATTGTCTGGACTAGTGATTGGATCAGAAAGAAAAACATTACATTTATATACATAGGCATCCTAACTAAATACTTTTAATATGCATTATCAAATAATCCTGAAACATATGCATCACAGTTTCCACACAAATATTAAGTGACTGATTTTGAATGCTCGTCATAGTCAGCAACTATGTGACATACAAAACGTTGACTACATGGAAAGTGCATGAAAGACTCACAATTTTAGGCCGGGGATTCCCTAACTTTTGTTGTAAGCTTAACCCCTTTGCCGTTAAATATTGACTTAATATAATATTTCAATATTTTAACAACACATTTGCAGTTTCACAGTTCTCTAATGCTGGTTATGGTCACATGTAAACAACTATTTTATGGCTTGGTTTCACAGACAGGGTTTAAATTAAGACAGACTTATTCCTTAGTTCAATTGGGACATTCAAGTAGCTTTTATAAATGTGCCTTACAAAAAAAAAAAAAACATTACTGGTGTGCATCGGGAGACAAATCAATGGCACTGACATATTTTAAGATATGTCAGTGTAAGTTGCTTTCAGTTAAAACAGCTCAAACATGCATTTATGCTCAAATATGCATTTAATTAGCATGTTTGTGAATTTTGACAGTGGAGCAATGAATGGAGGGGTGTGTTTGAGTGGGTTGATTTCAAATATCAACAGTGCTCAACAACAATTCTCAGAAATTGCATACTACCCCTTTAAAAGTGTCCCTATTATGCTTTTTCAGATATATAATTGCATGCAGTGTGTAATATAGCTGTTTGTAAATGTAAAAGGTCTGGAATGTTTTAAAGATCAAAGTGTACGATAAATGGAGTTATTGACAATTGACAGTTATTAACAAATTTGCATAATTTTTGCATAATGCAAATCCAATTTTCGCGCACTTCCAAAGGATGAGGACTCGGCCTCGAATTGATACGGTAAAACCGACGCCATCGTAACTGTCCATATCACTGTGCATCAAGTGCTGAGGAAGATCCAGAGCTGAAATTCAGATATGGTAATGGGTGTTTGGTTTTCGAAATGCAATGTAAGCGGTAGACCAATAACAACAGACTGGGCCATCTGACCAATCAGAGCAGAGTAAGAGGGGTTTAGAGAGACCGAATCCTTTATAGAAGCGTCTGAGAAAAGAGGTGATGCTGCAAATGCAATGTATGTTGTGAGGTCAATAAGAGTGTTTTTTGACCTTGGATGCATGTAAACCTATCATAAGAAACTCCAAAACAAAATTAGGAACCTTTAAAACAGCATATATGGGTGCACTTTTTCAATTATTAGAAAAAAAAAAGAAAACAATTATTAAAATGTGAATTTTTATATTGATGCCTTGCAATACTGAATGAATTGTACTTTAAGTACATTATTTTTTTCTTTTCTTTTACTTAACTAACTGTAATGCATTGTGGGATTGTTGAAGGTCACATGGTGCCTTTGAATGTGTCTAAAAGAAAGCTCACCGAAGCCGAGAGGCTGCCCTCCTATTCTCACCATCCTCCAGAGCTCACCAGAGGAGCTGGTGAAGAGAAGATCAGCTGGGAATCTGACACAAACACACATTTTTATTTTTTTGAAATGTGCAACTAAAAAATCTTTGATATCACCCGTTCATGACTGTGTGAGGGTCTTACTGTCTCTGTGCTTCTGTGTCCATCACCAATGAGACGTATCCATCAATCAGAGAGAAGGAGAAGAACTTGATGCATTCCATGTCCTGATCAACACTGGCGCCCTCTTTAGGACTGCAGGAGAAAAATGCATGAAAAAAACTCAGTGTCAACAGCACACACATAAAAATGCTCATTTTTCTTATTTCAATAAATGGATTACTTTGGAATGGGATTTTTTTTTTTTTTTTATATATATAATTGTTTTTGAAATGGAACTCGATTACATATTCCACATTATTCAACTTATCCCTTGACATGAAACAGGCAATTTCTTTATTTTTGGCTCACTTTTCTATGTCTCTGTGTTCCAGGTCTTATACAAAACATAGAACCACCATTTTACTCAAGATACCTTCAAAGGAGCGAGCAAAGATGAGCATAACTAATGTCCCTCGCATTTCAAGATTATTATCTCAACGTTTTTTTTATTTTTCTTCTCACTAAAAATGTAGATAGATTAGCTGATTATCTTAAAAGTCCATAGATATCGCTGTCAGGTCATACTGCTGTTAACACTTTATCCCACAAGCGGATGTGATGAGACCGGTTTCAGGTTTGGTCATGTGACGTTCAAGATATAACCCATTAGACAACTTACAGTATGTAAGTTATACAAGCAGGCAAATTGTGAGATAAACTGAAATTAGTTCAAGACGCCTCTTGGTGGCAGTAAATACCAATCAATTTGGGCCTGCTATTGTTGGTGCCAATCATGTGGAAATGAAATGCAAAAGTCAAAGCAGTGAAAACAGCATCACCACATGCCTTTGCAGCAGCGTGTTTCATACCTGTTCGAGTAAAACAGAACATCTATGAGGGTGGTGGCGATCGCTGGCAGAGTATCCGGATCCAAACTCATTACGCAAAACTGATTCTCAGGAATCAGCACTGGATGAACTGTGGCATGCGGAACTAAACACACACAAAATAACACTTCAAAATGTCAAAAACAATACTACCACTTGGAATACTAACACTCAATCAACGTGTCAATACAAAACACTGGTAAAAATTATGAATTATACAAAGAAATGGGGGGGGAGTCAAGTGTTAATGACATCAGGGGCCAGATTTATTAAACAGGGCAAAGTGAGAACGCAATATCATAAAAGCGTTGATGGGAGTGGGAAGTTCTGAGCGTGATCCACTGACGACAAACAAAATAAAGAACACAGACGCAGTCGGATCATTTCCATAATGACAATCTACCAAGAGCAGCGCAAATTAGCGTCTGGTTTAAGACATGCTTTTTTTGGGGCGATAAATAATGGTGCAAATACCAGTAAAATGACGAGCGCAAACCGTAGTAAATCACCTTGCATGATTCATTTAAATACTTTCCTCCCATACATTTTGCATCTGAAAGGGAAACTCCTGCAAATGCATATTATGCAATAACGTCAGCCGCAAAAATAACCCCGTCCGCACCTTTTCAGAGCCAATTCTTCACCGCGTGTCTTTAGGAAATCCTGACAGTAGTTTTTTTAATGCCGTTTATTTTTAAGATGTTAGTTAATCTGCCTTTAGATCTTTTTATACCAGGGAGGAAGTTTAGAAATATTAAAGCTACAGTATGTTTCCATAGTATAATTAACTATTCTTAAAAAGATCAATTTTACAATTTCACATTATTTGTCCTCTTTAAAAAAAAAAAAAAAAAATACACTACCATTAAAAAGCTTGGGGCCAGTATGATTTTTCTAAGTACTTTTATATTTATCAAGGATGCATTAAACTGACCAAAAGTGACAGTAAATGCATTTATGTTACAAAATATTTATATTTTAAATAAATGCTGTACTTTTTGTACTTTCTACTAGTCAAAGAATACTAGAAGATAAATTTGTCTCCATAACAATATTAGGCAGCACGAGGGTTTTCAACATACAGTAGACACTAAAAAGAAATGTTTCTTGAGCAGCAAATCAGCATATTAGAATGATTTCTGAAGGATCATGTGACAACACAAATTGAATAGATTTAGTTTTTACTGTATTTTTGATCAAATATATGCAGCCTCGAGACTACTTTCATCATACCAACTCCAAACTTTGAACAAAAGTATATGCCTTTCCTTTATCCACTCTCACCCTCTCTTCCGTTTCGCTGAAGGCCGTTGCAGGCGTCCTGACTGTGGACAGGCACGGACTCTCCCCCCTCTTCTCTGAAAATATTAAACTCCTCCACTAGAGTCTCCACCACCACCGAGAGGTCTTTCTCCCGCACCTAAAACACAAACATCCAGTTCAGTAAGTTGATCAAATACATTTTTATATAAAACTCCTAACAGCACTCCCTGAGGTGGCCATGTTTATTTTGTACTTCAGTTTTGTAGTGTTATTGCATTTTTAGCACTTGTTAAAAAAACCGGCAAAACTTTATTTGACAGTGTCCTTGTTAAAGATGTTACAGTACATGTAGTTACTATAGTAATAACTGTAAATTATGCATAACCCTAAACCTAATCATAACACTATAGTAAGTGCATGTAGTTAATTAATATTTCTCAGTACTTAAATGTATGACAAGGACACCAAAAAAAAGTGTAACCAAAAAAACAAGCAAAATTGAATCAAACAGTTATGAAGATTAAGTTTTTAGTTGTTGTTGTAGCACCCCCTGTGGGTGACTATTTGGTGCCAGTCTTCTAAATGTCTTCTTTTTTGGAGGGGAAATCAAGGTCAAGGATTCAGAAAAAAAAGAAAAAAAGAGTTCTGATTCTAGCACATAAATCTCCAGACATCATCACTTTCATTACACATCTACCAACTTATTGAAAACAAAAGGGGGTCATAAAATTGTAAAACATTTACAACAAGCAGGTGTGTTTTATGTTAGAGCATGTTTCCTTAATACTTTATTTATTAACACTGTTCTGTGTCTCTGGGTTCAGCCAAATGTCCGGCAGCTCCACTTCTGTGTTTGTTGCTTTCTCTGCTTAGTAAATCACATTCACAGCACAAAGCTATTTTTCCCCAACAACAGATAAGCAACAAATACATACAAATAATTATGAAATAATACTGCTGCGTTCCGGTCATGTCAGAGTTATCATAATTATCAATATCTAAAATAAATAAATAAAGTTAACATTTAAGTTGGAAAGTTTATGGAAGCTTTAACTTCTCCTTGAGGGTTGTGACACGTAAAGAATATGTCATATGACATGCAAGAATAAATATTAAGGTCCCCATGAATTCAAAATTGACCACACTTACTTTGTTTGCCTAAATTGATCGTTTTGTGGTGAACAATTCATCCATGCAAGTCAATCCACACAAAAAAATGTTTTGCCTTTGTAATCTTTAATCAAAATCTGAAATGTCCCCTCCCCTCTGCATTGGAGGACCTTCCCTGATGACTTAGGTTTGACGGTTTGGGCGTCTTCTTAACATCCGTAATCACGCCCCTCCAACTGACAGTAGACAGGCTGAATGAAAACACCTACTTTTCTAGATCCAATCAGGTGCTAGTTGAAAAAAAAGCCACGCCCACTATTTTGCCTCATTTAGTATTCCGTTTCTCTCGGAAATACGTCACAACACTGGAGAAAAGTCGTTTGCAACTTCCGGTTCACGGGGACTTCAAGGATAGTCACTGACACAATACTTCCAGGCTAAACTCATCCAATTATTTCTAGGAAAGTTGCTGATAGGCTTGAATAAGAAATATGTTTGTTATTAGCTATGTTTCTATTAAAAAAAAACGCTAATTTAACTTGTGCACAAAATTGGAATATTGCATAAAACATTTGCGAATAAAGTTTCCATCCCATGTGTTCAAGAGAACAAAACGGTCACTAACTTCCTGGGAAATGGGTGCAAAATATCTGTAATAAAAATGGAAGTGTATGCAATCGGGGAGACCACTGTGGCTACTTTATCCTACATCATAAATGACTAGAATCTCAGAATGTGCAGACGAAATGCAATAAACTCTGTCATGCTATGCTGGTGTTTGGGAATGCAATAGGGGTGTAACGCCGGTACATGTATTCGTCCTGAACCGCCACGGTTTGGTGCATACAGTCAAACACCGAGTACAGTCAGTAACAGGTGATCCACACTCCAATCCAGAATGGGTCACGTGCAGTAATGCAATGCTGTCTGCTAACTGCCACAACAGGAAAAAGAGCAGAAGAGGAGAGAATCTATGCACCAACCCAAAACAATGGGTGCTTCTCAATACTCAATTTGACGATGACCTCAGCCATTTTAAAGGGCATCTCAATTCTCTAATTGACCTATGGCTAAGCCACGCCCCCAAACGCGATGAGCCAATCACAGTGCGCATAGCTAACCTAATACACTCGGACATTCTCTGCTTCCACGTCCATTGAAATGCATTGCAGTTAGTCAGTTTTCATTCGTTTTTATATGTTTTTTCTTGTCATTTTAAGTTTAAAATGGTCAAACGGTGTGCATGGGGTACATGCAACTCCGACACTCGGTATCCCGAGAGGCAGGGCGACGGTGTGTATTTTTTACCCTTTCCCAAGCCACATCTCAACCGAGATAAGTGTCTGCTCTGGATAAATTTATGCGGTAGACCACAACACCAACTAAACGTGGATAAATTAAACAAGGATGTCTACATCTGTTCTAAGTCAACAACGTATTTGAACGTTATCTTTAACATCTCTAACGTAACGTTAGGCAAGGCAAGGCAAGTTTATTTATATAGCACATTTCATACACAATGGCAATTCAAAGTGCTTTACATAGAAGAAATTAAAATAATCAAAACAAATAAGAATAATTAAAACAGTTTAGAATAAAAAATCAAATAAAGTAGTACTGGTCCACCCCTAACTGAGATGGAAGAGATTGAGCCGGTTTACGGTGCCACTGGACCTCTAGCCCAGGGACGTACTCTGCTGGGGTGGTGCTACACCAGTAATGCCCAGCGGGGCCCCCACAGAGCACGCTTCGTGCGCTGTCTGCTGCCGTTACCCTTAACGACGCTCTCAGCGACTTCTTATACAGCAGTATAACTTACTCCTTCACTCGCCTCATCGGAGTGAAGACTCTCCCGCTCTCCTTCAAAATCTCTTCCAGAGATTATAAAAATAAATAAATTAGAAATTAGAAAACAAACAAAGACAAAACCAGTACAGTAAAAACAGTCGGACGGACAGTGGCACAGTGCTCATTCAGTAAATGCATAGCTAAACAGATGTGTTTTGAGTCTGGATTTGAAAGTGACTACTGTAGGAGCACATCTGATCTCCTCTGGAAGCTGGTTCCAGCTGCGGCTGGCATAATAGCTAAAAGCAGACTCTCCTTGCTTAGAGTGAACCCTTGGTATTTCTAGCTGATGTGATCCTAATGATCTGAGTGATCTGTTAGGTTTATATTCAGTGAGCATATCTGCAATATTTTGAGGTCCTAGCCCATTGAATGATTTATATACCAGTTATAATACTTTAAAATCAATCCTAAATGTAACTGGGAGCCAGTGTAAAGACCTGAGGACTGGTGTGATGTGTTCATATTTTCTGGTTCTGCTCAGAATCCTGGCAGCAGCGTTCTGTATGAGCTGCAACTGTCTTATGGTCTTTTTAGGAAGGCCAGTGAGGAGTCCATTACAATAATCCACCCTGCTGGTGATAAAAGCATGCACAAGTTTCTCTAAGTCTTGATTGGAAACAAAGCATCTAATTCTTGCAATATTTTTCAGATGATAGTATGCTGATTTAGTTATTGCTTTGACATGACTACTGAAACTAAGGTCTGACTCTAGAGACACACCAAGATTCCTGACTTGATTTTAAGTTGTTAGACCCCTAGCGTCAAGGTATGCATTCACCTTGAGAACTTCATCTTTGTTTCCAAACGCAATGACTTCAGTTTTGTCTTTGTTTAACTGAAGAAAGTTTTGGCACATCCAACCGTTGACTTCATCAATGCATTGGCACAGGGAGTCAATGGGGCTGTAGTCGTTAGGCGATAGGGCTAAGTAGAGCTGTGTGTCGTCTGCATAGCTGTGGTAAGAGATTCGGTTCTTTCTCATTATTTGGCTCATTGGGAGCATATACAGGTTGAACAGGAGTGGTGCAAGAATTGAGCCTTGAGGGACTCCGCAAGTCATGGATGTCCACTCAGACTTATGGTCTCCTATACTCACATAATAACCTCTCCCTTCTAAGTATGACCTGAACCATTTTAGGACTATCCCAGAAAGCCCCACCCAGTTTTCCAGCCTGTCAAGAAGTATGTCGTGATCAACAGTGTCAAATGCAGCGCTGAGGTCGAGTAGTACCAGCACTGATAATTTGCCTGTATCAGTATTTAAGCGAATATCGTTTATTATCTTTATGAGCGCTGTCTCTGTGCTGTGAAGCGATCGGAAACCAGATTGAAAATTGTCAAAGTATCCATTTGAGCTTAAGAATTTGTTCAGCTGATTGAAGACAACTTTTTCAATGATCTTGCCTATGAAAGGAAGATTTGAGATCGGTCTATAGGGACGTCCCGCGTGACGTCACGCCATTTGGAGCAGCCATCTTGACGGTATAGAAAATGCTAAACCGCCGGTGATAATACAGCTCGTCGCGAAATATTCATATCATGCCCGAGCGATGCTGTGCATTTGGATGCGATCAGATACGTGATCATACAAAAGGAATATCTTTATACCGTATCCCAAAAGAAACAAAACGGAGAAAAGTGGTTGGCGGCAATAAACAGGCAAAACGCATACATGCATTCCTAGATCAGTTAATTCGTTAGGCGGCGGCCTATTATCACATTACATTCTTTCGTTTTCAAATACCAAAAGCTGATCTTGTATTTTATTTGACACTTCTTATAAATCGTTAGAAACACAGGTTGAGACAAGTATAAAAAAGAATATAGGCTATTATTTCGTTTTTCTTGGATCAAACTAGATTAAACAAATTCATTAAAGATACACTTAATTAGGGTGATCAACAGTCCTGTTTTACCAGGACATGTCCTGTTTTCACGTCCTGTCCTGGCCGTCCTGGCTGTTTTTTATAAAGTGATGAAAATGTCCTGCTTTTCAAAAAATTGCTTGGAAAGATCAGCTCTACAGCAAAATATAGATGGGCAAACAAGGACGAGGAAGAAAAACAGGATAAAGAGGAAGAAAACTAAAGATATAAATACATTTTGTTAGTTCGTTTTTGTAAGTTTGTGAGAGCTATTTTTGTTCAATTTGGAGGTATTTCTTTTAGTTATTTATCATTTATATATTTATTTTTCTAATACAGAAGAGACATTATTTCTATCATTATTTCATTGATTATTTTTTAAACCTGTCATAATAAAACATGTTGAGTAACCTCTGAGAAGCCTATCTGAATTTGTGTCTTGTAATATAACAATTTTCTATCCATACAGAGGAGGCTACTTTAAATGTATTAATTAATAAGGCATCTTTGAGTAAATATCGAGTATCATTTGAGTAGCCTATCTGTTTGCCGGGAGTGTCCTGTTTTTTGGTAATCAAAATATGCACTTAATCTTGTTGGTGATTTTGTTTTGTGTTTTCCCCTGTAAACTCAGTTTAAAAATTATTACAGGTACTATAATTTGATGAAAAAAATACATTGACCAACCTTTGCGGTGATGATTGAAAAATAATTTTCTTTTAATGAAGCTCCGGTGTAGCGTGATGGGATGTGAATAAGGTAGCTGTAATGTCACCGAACTCAATGTCAGGAAGTTTTTCTACACATTTAATGCCTGTAAAAAGAACTTGTGGTGCTTCATATGGATATATGATTCCTAATTCCTTTATCTTCCTCTTGTATATTTATTTTTGTGATGCTAATAATAAGTGTGATGACATGACGTGGTGGGGGAAAAATCGATTCTGTTCAGTATCGAGATATTTTGTACCATGATTTTGCGCATGCAATTATATCAATACTGTAGCGCAAAGTATTTCAATATTTAGGCTAATTATACTAATAATTATATTATTAGTATAATAATATACTAATAATTATATTATTAGTATAATATACTAATAATATATATTACCCACGGTAATGGATCTAAGAGTAGCCGATGGATGTATTCCGTCAAAATGGCTGACAAGCGGCTAGGGGTCACGTGACTGGGAGATCCCTATAGTTGCTCAAGATGGTCTTATCCAGATTGCTCTTTTTCAGGAGGGGCTTGACAACTGCAGTTTTCAGGGAGTTTGGAAAACTACCAGAGAGAAGTGAGGCATTTACCACTTCTAGGAGATCTGCTTCTAAGCTGTTTAACACACTTTTGAAAAAAGATGTGGGAAGTGCGTCAAGGGCGCAGGTTGATGTTTTAAGGTGCTGTACGGTTTCTTCCAAAATTGAACCTTCAATTTCTTCGAAAACAGACAAAGTAACTACTTTCTCAGGTTGTGGTCTGATCTGTCTGACCCCAGCGCTGTCTGGGGGTCTGATCTATCTGACCCCAGCGTTAGGCTAACATTAGAAAACGTTGAAGTTAGCTTCTAGCTGCGTTGTACATCATGTCACTTAGCTTCATTAACGTATCTTTAAATAACCGAGATAACAAATGTTAGCAATGTTGTGCTGAAAGATTCATGTAAATACTGCAGGGCGTGAACAATGCTGATCCTCTATCTTGTTGTCTGAGATGGTGATGGCAACGAGATGTGGTTTATCACGTTTACACTGTGACCTGTACATTTTTGCCTGGAGCTGAAGCTTTTCATCGACCTTCTCAACAATAAAATTATTAATATAACCCTCCAATGAATAGTTAAGGCCCTTTTGGTGACTTCGAGATGATATATAATCTTTCTGTCTCCAAAAATCATCAATTGCCTCCTGTGAAATGTCTCCTACTGTGACGGCGCCTGTCACGGAATGTTGACTGTTTTTTTCGAGTGAGTGGAGGGGGCGTGGCTTAGCCATAGGTCGATTGAACCGCGAGGACACGGGAAACGAGGAAACACAGGTGTATCCTTCCCTTGCATCCTAAGGGGTGGAGCTAAGACACGAGGAACGGAAACGAGGATCCACAAATAAGAAATGAGAAGCACCCGAGGAGTTCAGACGTGTTCAGAATAGCTTGCTAATACGCACTCCACTAACTTCACGGAAAGGAAACCGGGACGGCAGAAAGAAGCATTATTTTATAAAAGCAGAATGATTTGTTTTTATTGTGAGTGTACAACGACAAAAACAGACGAATGATGTCTTACTCTTATCTGTATGACGAAAACGACGTAGTATTTTAAGTTGTTTCCGCTGTTATAACGAGTACCAATTTGTGTCGTGGAAATTCAGTGAAGAAATATGCGAGTCCTATGCTTGTTGTTGTCATCTGTTGACGTTTGTACAAGCAGAATGTGGCGGTTGGTCGGCAGTGTTGTGTGTAACAGCGTTACAGTAACGCAACTACTTTTTCGGGTAAAAAGTAGTGTAACGCGCTACTACTGAAAATTTGGTAACGAAACGTAGTTCCTTTTTCAATTCGGCACAAAGTTACTTTTCCCAGGGACAGATTTGACAGCAATCTCCGTCATTTGACAGATTTGACAGCGATCGCCATCTCCGTGAACGCCTACAGAGGGAAATGCACATAATGGATTACATAATCAGAGATTAGCCTATTTCTTTTCGTTTTGAATTGTTTCGTTTAAAGACATTTCAAGCTTTCTATATATAGATATATTTCTCATGTCTGTGAGGCATACGCTGAGTTTCAGTTAATTTATGATGAGATGCTCCAGTTCACGCGCAACAAGTGACCGCGCCGGCGCCTCCATGTCATGATTATATTGTCTGCTATATTTGCTGCTTATTTATTAAATCCAGGCAATTGGTTGATAAAGAAATTGATTAAAATTAAGACACGATTTATACAAAACGAAATTCACTTTAAAGAAAGGCTTTCTTCAAAACAAAACTTAATGAAGTGGTCAAAATCATGTCTGACCCACTCATTGCCTCCGATATATTGCGCATCCATCTTACTCATGCTGTTCACTTTTCATAATTAACATAGATGAAAAAAATAACATTATAATATTTTAACAAATATGAAACTAAATGCTTATATCATGGCTACAACACATAAAGTAGGCCTAGACTCTCTATTTGTACAAATTGCTGCACATTCATTAAATTCTAAATTTTGCACACATAAGTTGAAAGGCATTTGTTTACGTGCAAAACCTATCAGCAACATTTATCAAGTTTTGATAAATGCATATATTAATCATTATGATACTAACATCATAATAAAGTAGGCTATACTATGTACAAAAAAATCAGATGAGCCTAGAATATGAACGCAACGTGTTTAATTACACATTAAGCATTTTCCTCCCATAGAAAACCATTATAAGAAGAACGCTTAATTTGGCTTAATGTAGATTAGAATATCCCCTTATTATGTCGAAATAACAAGATAAGTTTTTTTTTTGTTTTTTTTTCACCATGCGGTTCAGGACTTCCATAGAATACAGCCTGAATATAATTGCTTCCAGAAATTATTCTTGGGGGTGCTAACGGGGAGCTTTGGTCTTTATTGGGGGCTTTCTTTCTAGGTTTCAATCCATTAACGGGCATTTCTTTATAAATATTCAAAATTTTGATAAATGCATTATGCATTTATGGCATTATATATGGCATTTTGCATAGAAGAACTTTATGTAGGCCTACACATTTAGGAACAGATATTGGGTTCTGCCCAGTCAAGCAACATAAAAGTAACGTAAAAGTAACGAGTAACGTAAAAAGTTACTTTACATATGGGGTAACTAAGTAAAGTAAAAAAAGCTCAGCACCTCGTTACGCTCATGGCGTTCTAAAAACGCGGCGCTCCCATTGAAAACTATTTTTAAAAATACGCCAGCCGCGTGAAAAAACGCTTTGGTGGACACATGGCCTTTCAGAATTCAATCATGTGAGACACTTCAGGGAGGGAATTAAACCAGATCAAAAACAATTTTCAGATGCTGTGCAATGAAACTGATCCACTGGTAAGTCCAGTTATCCAATCACATCCACTCCTGGTCACATGAGTGTTGTGTTGCGCATTCCCTGATTGTGTTTCCATCGTAGTTTAGGAGCATGTCTTATCAGATAAAAACAATTATGTGCATATTTAGAATTTATGCGCACCTTGGCGTTTCCGCCCAGCCTTTTTATGCGATAATCCAACATTTGCAGTAAAATAGGTGGATGGAAACATAGCCAATGATCTCAAAGACACAACACACTCGCTTACCAGAATAAAGTCGGTCTGATACGTAGAGAGCATGAACACGGATACATGCTGCTCAGCCAATGGCGCAATAACGGACTTGGCGATCTTGGTGACACCCACGGCCTGTGAGCTGCTGGAGGCGTTGCCATTGGAGACGACATTGAGCGGGAGCCAAGTAGAGGCCTCCACCTGCAAGTGCTCGGACAGCTGTAGCTCTGGAACAACAGGAGGATGGATCAGTCCGTATCAATCAAATATACCAGTTTTAAACAACAGGTTTACATTCATTTCCAAACACACTATACGACATTTGTAGAGAAAACACCATTTTTAGTGGAGAACTTCATTGAGAAACTCATTCTGCACTGAATGATAGGGTGATTTTTACTTGGTGGATGATAATGCCTTGCATTGAAAGAAGGACTGATACATTACAGTTTAAAAGTTTGTGGTCAGTTTGATTTTTTTTTTGTGTGTGTGGAAATAATTTAATACTTTTATTCAGAAAAGATGCATTAAACTGATCAAAAGTGACAGTAAAAACATTTAAAACAAAATAAAATAAATAAATGATTACTATTTAAAATAAATGCTCTAATAATAATCTATACATCAAATAACAGTTTACACATTCCAATATTGATAATAAGAAATGTTATTTGAGTAGCAAACCATCGTATTAGAATGATTTCTGAAGGATCATGTGACACTGAAGACTGGAGTAATGATGCTGAAAATTCAGCTTTGATCACAGGACAAAAAATTCATTTTCAAGAATATTCAAATAGAAAACATTTTAAAATGTAATAATATTCCACAATATAATGGTTTTTTTTTTTTTTAATCAAACAAATGCAGTCTCGGTGAACAAAAGACTTCTTTCCAAAAATACTAAAATAAAAAAATGTATCTTACTGACCCCAAACTTGTGAACAGTAGTGCATCTTAGGATCTTTTTGGACCTCAACCAATAAGCAAACAAACTCTAGCATCATGGCAGAGAGATTTGCACAAGAAAACAGCACTCACTTTTTCTTCAGATAAACCCTATGCAATGAAACTAGTCCAATGAGATTACAGTATCACAGACTAAACCACAGAGCAGAATAGTAAGTTATTTCTCAAATACTGATTGTGTTAACACTAACTAATCCAGAGTCTATAATTATTCACAGAATTACAGCAGGAAGTTGCAAATGTCTTCGTGAGCAGGCATGCCACTTTGACAGCATAAGAGATCAGAAATGAACAGGGTGATTCTGTAACCAATTAACACCTCGCACAGGATTATACGTTTTAGACACACAGACCTCTCAAAATGAAAGAAAACATCTTGTTCTCGTATCAGAACACCTGCAAACAAACACTGCCTCTGAAACTTTGTTCCTATATAGTCGTTTTTGCCTTCCTGTAGACAATGAGAAGAAAAGGTTTTAGCTGTAGAGTCGCAGGGGTTTGTCAGCACAGAGGAAACAGCTGTTTGGATCAGAGGCGAAGGACAGGGTTACAGAGGGGCTCGATGATAACAGCCAAGAACTCAGTGTGCTGTTCACCTGCTCACTGGTCAATGCTCCAGAGCCAATAGAGATCGTTTGAGGGATTGACAATCTTTTCAGGGATCAACAACAACCAGGATATTTTTCTGCTGGTCGAATTGGGTCAGTAGTTCAGATTTGCAGTTGCCCTGCTAATAATAATAATAAATTAATAAAACAAATAAATAAATAAATAAATGTTAAAATAAATAAATAAACGTTAAAATAAAAACATTTATTTATAAAAAAAAAAAATTATACTTTCAATGTGTCTTAGTTTGCTCAATAAATTGATCAAGTGACAGCAAAGGCATTTATATTCAAGTTACAAAGAATTTCATAAAATATTAAGCAGCAAAACCATTTTCAACTGAGCACCAAATCAGCATATTAGAATGATTTTGGAGAAGAAAAGAAAAAAATGTGACACTAAAGACTGGAGTGATGCTACCACACGAATAAATTGCATTTAAAATATATTAAAAGAAAATCGTTTAATAATATATAATATAATTACAACTAATTGATTACACATAAAATATAATTTAAAAAAAAGATTTAATAATTGTAATAACATTTGACAATATTGCTGTTTTTGTTGTTGTTGTTTTTTTAAATAGCATTTTGATCAAAGAAATGTAGCCTTGGTTAGCATGAGAGCTCTTTCAATATATTTATAATTTATAAATATATATTTAGCAACATATTTTATACATGGTAGAAAGTAATGATAATAATCAATATTTAATGTTTTCTATTAATATTTCACAAAATGAATGATTAGTGTGTGCTGCTAATAGAGCAGATTTTGATACTTGAACATATTTTTTTATATAATTAATGTTTTATTGCTTCAAATACAAACAGCATTATTTTGAATAATGAACCTTTTTATCAGCCAAGTAAATCATGGAAAGCATTATTCTGTCTATCTTGTTCAAGTATGTCAAATTTCCATATTCTTCTTCACATTTCAATGCAGTTTCAAGTAATAAATCAAATAAAGACTAATTTCAACTTGAATGTAGTCAAAAAAAGATTAAGTATTTAAATACTGAATATTCTAGCTGAATATTTTTGCCGCTGTATTTATCCAATCATGGCTGTTCACACTGCATATATGCAAATAAGAATGTTAACTCAGGGTTTAGAAATGTACAGTGTGAAATGTCAGATTATTAATCCCCAGGATCAAAGTTGATATCACATATAATCACAACAAACAGAATTAACAAAGAAATGATATAATTCTCAGTACATTCCATGGCAATGCGTGTCAACATCAACTGAACACAAGAGAATTAGGAGAGCAGTTTGTTGTGTGTGTGTGTGTGTGTGTGTGTGTGTGTGTGTGTGTGTGTGTGTGTGTGTGTGTGTGTGTGTGTGTACCTTTAAATCCCTCCTCATCAAGGACAACTGTGTAATTTTCCGGAGTTTCTGTGAGGCTGAAAAATTTGCATCTGTGAGAGAAAGAGAAAAGCCACAGGAGAGAGGGAAAACAAATAAAGGGAGAGAGAAAGAAAAAAACAAAACAGACAGATCAGACATTGCATTAATGGACAAAAACAATGGCAGATTGTTGTGAAGAGTGTTCCAGCAGCGAGGCGTGAGATGGAGAGAAACCACATCAGACCACTTTGCAGAAAAAGTGAAAGCTGTTTTTTTCTTTCACTTAAAGTTAGAGCCAACAACATCTGAAATTCATTTATACGATTCTGCATTTCGGTTGATGCTGAACTGGTTTGTTGCGATTGATAAATTTGAGGTGAAGAGAACGCAAGATTGTGTGTTTGTGTGAATTGCTTTCTTCACGATGGGGTTTGACCCAAATATTTTAGGGGCCGGTCCAGGAACCCAGAACAACGTGCTCCACTTCATTCAGTCGATCTATTGTCTAAGAGCCACAGAGCTGAGAAGCAGCCGGGAATCATGGGAAAAGAACTCTTGAGCTGTTGAATTGTGCAAATGAAATCTAAACTGGGTCATGATTTTTTTTTAACTGAAACAAAAAATAAAATACAGTAATATTGATTATTTATTTACAGCAGTCATGTACTCTAATAATGTTAATTCATTAAGTTAAATATACACTACTGTACCTTTCAGAAGTTTGGGGTCTGTAAGATTTTTTACTTTTTTTCGAACAAGTAAAATGCTCAACAAGCCTGGATTTATTTGATAAAAAATACACAATTGGAAATCATTGAAACATTTTTTTTTTCAGGATTCTTTGATGAATAGAAAGCTCAAAATAATGGAAATATAAATCTTTTGAAACATTATAAATGCCTTCACTGTCATTTTTAATATTTAATCCACCCTTGGTGTATAAAAAATAATAATTTCTTCACAAAAATAAATAAATAAATTGCTGACCACAAACTTTTGAAAGGTGATACCCTTTATACATTTACACTCAAAAAAAGGTAAACAAAAAGATTCAATAGTTAGGCTAATGAATAATATTAGAATTTTTTTCTCAATTTTATCATACTACTTTTGTGACCTCACAACACCCTTAAAGTTCACTCAAAAATAAATTCTGGCATAATTTACTAACCTGTATGACTTCATTATTCTATGAAAAATGTCCCGGTGTTTTGTTTCCCTATGCAATCACAATGAATGATGACTGAAACTGCTTGCAAAAATGAGTTTTGTGTAGCAATTTTATTGATTTATTTTTGCAGTAGAAACCACTAAGAAACTTTGCTTTGACTTCAGTACTCATTCTTGGAGTAGTCCGCTAACATGGTGCACAGCACTGTTTAACTTTCACATTAACTCCTGCAGTTAAAGAAGTCTGAAACACTATCAGACCACCAGTGCGCCAGCCCTTATTTGAATGAAGAGCTAATATACACGACCCACAGGCCCAGTGCAGCCGATTCCTGTGCTGTCTGCAACTCAGCGGAATACAATCCGGACCCCAATGACTAGGCACATCAATCCTGGGGCCGAACAGAGGGAAAATAATACATCCCCACCCTCAGGGCTAACTCAGCACAGCAGCATTGTGTCCGCTAGTCTCACACTTCCTAACAACATCTAGAGCTCCCGGGGTTCAACTTCCTGTGAGAGCTCTGTAGCCTTCTGGAAAAAAGAGAAATATAGGAGTGGTGTTAAACCAACATCCTCCAGAACGGTGAGAAAAGAGAGGGAACTATTTTCTATATTGGTGCACTCTATTCAAAGTCTTCCCAAGTCAGAAAATAGATTTAATCCATTATTAACTGTTAAATCCTTAGTTCTCCTTTGCATGTTCATGAGAAAAGTAACAATGGGTATCATTCACTAATAATTATGTGAATTATTTGTATGCGTGTAATTTAACTAATACAGTATATACTGCAGGGTAGGGGTGTAACGGTTCAAATTACTCACAGTTTGGTTTTTATCACGGTTTTGGTTCGGTGTGTGCTATGTTATACATAAACTGCATTATATTTTGCATATTTTAGAGTGGCCTTTTATTGTGGCCAGCCTAAGGCACACCTGTGCAATAATCTAATCAGCATCTTGATATGCCACACCTGTGAGGTGTTTAGACACAGATTTAGACAGATTTGTGAACAATATTTGAGAGAAATAGGCCTTTTGTGTACATAGAAAAAGTATTAGATCTTTGAGTTCAGCTCATGAAAAATGGGGGCAAAAACAAAAGTGTTGCGTTTATCATTTTGTTCAGAGTAGTTTGGAAAGATGGTTGGCCATGTAGTGTTCCCGAATGCATGTTAAAGAGACCTAAAATTTAGAGCGGATTATTTACTACAGCATTTACTGCATCTGCTTATTTACTACAGAGCCGAGCCGCTTTGAAATGCTGCAAACACTGTGTTGGAAGTGTGTAAGAGCACAGTGTCGAGCTTCACTTTGAGACGCATTCATATAATTTAATTTAATCAGAGCCCTAACAATTTGATAATTGCACAAAGCCATAACCGCAATACCATTTTATTTAAATTAAACATATACAGTAGGGCTGGGGTAAACGATTATTAATTAAACGATTAGTCTGTCGATTATTTTATCGATTAGTCGACTAATCTAACGACTAATTGAACGATTCTTTTTTGTAACATGGAAATTGCAGGAGTGCACATTCAATGCACAACAATTTTGATCTGGTTCTTACAGAGTATCTACACTGTAAAATGTTTGGTAGGCTACTCAAATGAGCCCTATCACACTTGGATGTGGTGCTCATTTTAATGTTTTCAGTGCTCATAAAAAACATCCGGACTGATTTTTCGGTTTTGTTGACGGGGGTGGGGTTTACATGCGCTTCATAAGGCACACACGCACATTTGCACACACATGCGCAAGGTCTCTCGCTCTCTCCCTCGCTGCGCGCGCTACACGGTTTGGAGCTCGCGAGCTCTAGATTCCGGGAGATTTTAACTAATTTGCGGTCATCAGGGAGCCGCTATCACTATGCGGGAGACTTGGGATGTCAACTCCATTTGACAAAGAGCGCAAATAACGACACCTTTACGTTTGGGACTAAATTTGAAGTATTCCCATACCTTCGATGATTTAGTGCGAGCTGGGTTTTTTTTAGGACTTTTTCTTTTGTTGGGACTTTTGCATGGCTTTGTTGTGAATTCTGTGAAGAGGTTGCTGTTTCGTCCTCGATTCTGCAATGTTTCGGTCTCCCACGTGTGTGTGGCGAGCTGTACCGCCGGGAACGGTGCAAAAATATAAATAAATAAAGAAGCGTCGACAAAAAAATATGACGTTGACGAATTTTTGACGTCGAAGCGTCGACGTCATCGACGCGCCGCTACAGGCCTAATATACAGCTGTGGCCAAAAGTATAGTCAATGACCATAATTTTGTGTTTGTAGATTATTTTTCACATGTTTCTATGGTATACTGGAAATCAATAATTTGTATTTCATCAGTTTTAAAGGCTTTTATTGACAAAAAAACAAAACACTTAATGTATGCAAAAATTTTGCAATTTGCTCTGGCATGCTGGATATCAGCTTCTGGGACAAACCCTGACTGATGGTGATGCATTCTTGCCTTATTAGTGCCCGGAGATGATCACAATTTGTGGACTTCTGTTTGTCCAATCGCCATTTGAGGATTGACCACAAGCTCTTTATGGGATTAAGATCCTCGGAGTTGCCTGGCCATGGATCCAAAACGTCAAAGTTATGATCTCCGAGCCAATTCATAATCCCTCTTGCCTTGTGACATGGTGCTCCATCATGCTGGTTAATGCATGGATCATCACCAAATTGCTCCTGGGTTGTTGGGAGAACCAACCACACATGTATGGTCTCAAGACAGGATGCCTCACTGTTGGAATGACACAGGACTCATGGTAGCGTTCACCTTTTCTTCTCCAAACAATACATTTTCCAGATGTCCCAAACAGTCATAAGGGGGCTTCATCAGAGAAAATAACTTTGTTCTAGTCTTCTGCTGTCCCATCCTTGTACCACCTGCAGAATTTCAGTCTGACATGATTCTGTAGCGACTCCTCAGGAGGAGACGTCCTGGCGCTTGCTAGACACTAGGACATCCTGAAGCCTTCTTCACTGCAGGTGAACCTCTCCGCTTGAAGTTCTTGATGGTCCGGTAAATGGTTCTTTCGGGTGCAATAATCTTTGCAGCAATTTTTTTTATATGTGATGATGGCTGCATGGCTAATGTTTGCATGTAACCATTTCTTACACAAGAACACAATGATTGGAAGCACTTTTTCCATCCTTTTATAGCAATCAGTATGCTCTTGTAATCCAATCAGAATGATGATATTTTACTTGACTAATGGGCTGTTTACATGACACCGTTTTCAACTATAAACATAATTAAAACGCATTTTTATGCGTTTTGGCCGTTTGTTTACACGACAACGGCGTTTTGGGTGCCTGAAAACGCAAACTTTTGAAAATGAGTTTCAAAGTAGGCCTACACGTTTTTGAAAATGGTCTCGAATCTCTAAGGTGAATCTCTGAAGTCGATGACGTCATGTTCAGTCTATAGTGTTTCATTGCCATCTTAATGGCCTGGCAGCAGAAATTGGCATTTTTAGTCGTTTTCGCGGGTCCGTGTGGTCCTGGATCGTTTTGACAATGGTGTCGTCTGTACACGGAAAACTTCTCCGTTTTAAGCATATCTTGTCGTGTAAACATACCCTAATACTTGTTCACACTTTACCATGTGCTGATGATATGATTAGTGAAATTATGTTAGCTGATAAATTTGTGACAGGGCTAAACTGTGAAATTTGGGTTTTTGTGATAAAGTTTTTTGGCCAATGAAGATTTTTGCAAATATTTAAAATGCATCTGATCAATCTGCACAATAATCTAGAAACAAATTGAATCAACACCACAACAACTGAAGCAGCAAACTTTGCAAAACACAAAATTTATGTCACAGCCAATACTTGGCCACGGCTGTAGTCTGTGACTAAAAGTTTACATGTCCATGTAATATTTCATCTTAACATGTTTAAAACATTTAAATGCAGATTGTAGTCACTGTGCTCATAGCTGTACATGTGGAGAAAATAACATTAACACATGAGTTCTTGTATTTGTGTGGGGACCCCTTCTGATCTTTGAAAGTTCACCCAAAAATTTAATTTTTTGTCACCACCTACCCTCATAACATGGCACATTTGGTTGCAATACACATCAAGAACTAGGCTAATGCTGCTTGGTGTCAAGCTATGTTTCCATCCATCCATTTGTATGTGCATTTTGGGATGATGCATTAAAAAAAATGGATGGAAACACCAAGATGCGCATAAAAAAATCAAGAAAAAAAACCTCATAAAAACGTATGCACTCAATTGAGGAGGATACTTTTTTTATCCGATAAGACGACGCCATGCACATAAACTACAATGGAAACGCATTTAGCCTACCTAATAAATCCCTCGATGTGCAACAAAAAACGAACATGTCTTTGCTTCACTGGACTAACCAGTGGATCAGTTTTATTGCACAGCATCTGTTGGTTTGTTCATTCTGAAATACCTAAGCCAAAGTCTGATATAATGGTATAATGACCAATGTACCAATGATAATTGGTATAATGACCACCTAGAAGCGTCTAACATGTTTGCGTTTCAGGCATCTGACAGTATAGATAAAGATTATCTGCAAGATAATATGACAGTGTTTATTGCGTTTCGTATGCACACTCTGAGAGTCATTTATGATGTAGGAAAACAAGCCACAGTGGTTTCCTCGATTGCAGGAACTTCCATTTTTATTACAGATATTTTGCACCAATTTCCCAAGAAGTGATGATTTTTCACAGGATGGAAACTGTGCTTTATTCACAAATGATTTATGCGATATTCCACTTTTGCAAATAAGCTAAATTCGCAACTTTGGATGGAAAGATAGCCAATTATTGAAATTGGCATGGCAAGTTTGAATATGCACTATATTTAAGAAGCTACAGTTGCACTGGATTTTCAGAGAAAAAAAACATGTATTTTATTTCACTAAAGCTATGGATTGTTTCAGAAGACTTTGAATATAGATGATGAAGTCTCATGCTCTATATTGTAAACCTCATCATATTGTTCCAAATTTTTTATTTTTGGAACAATATGAGGGTCAGTAAATGGTGAGAGAATTTTTGGGTGAACTATCCCTTTAATTTTTGCATTTTAAGATTAAAGGGGGCTTCGATTTAGGTTTAGGAAGTGATATGCTGAACTCTGGAGCATTATCTGTAGCATTCAAGGTTCTGGAAAGTTCAACAAGATATGGCTGAACGAACCAGAAAATGCATATTGAATACACAAACACATATCTTTTCTAAGCTCTGTGGGAATCCAATCCTGAAAGTCTCCACAGGCTTGAAAAAAAACTCCAATTCAACGGCATTTAGCAGATACTAAAGTCACACGATGCCCAAAAAAATACTTAAAGGGATAGGTCACCCAAAAAATATTGAGTTCTGTCATTAGACAGTTGACAGTACCAATCATACTTTGGAAAAAAATAATATGAATACTATAAAAAAAAAGTCAATGGCTACCGTCAACTGTCTGGTTACCATCATTCTTCAAAATATCTTATTTTGTGTTCAGCAAAAGAAAGAAAAAACAGATTTAAAACAACTTGAGTGTGAGTAAATGACAAAATTTTCATTTTTGGGTGAACTATCCCTTTAAATCGGTGACATTTTCCAATCACATAGAAAAAAGAAAAGGAAAAAAAAAAAACCTTCAAACAAATCTTCTTTTCCATAGATGTCACTTTGGCCATGTGTGCCATGTATAAAGATATTACCCAAACCCTAACTTGTATTCAAAGTGTAAAAATTGCAGAGTATAACTCAGCACATTAACCCAGACAAAAGTAATGTTTTGATGTTGCAGTAGGCTAAATTATGGTTTAACTGTGAAAGGCATATTCCACTCTACTTAGGAAATGCATTGTATACTTTTTATTCAGCACTATCATTTTAAATACATGGTATAGGCCAACAGACCTACACATTGAAAAAAGTTTTATTTTGTCCCATGTTAATTTACTCTTAACGCGAGGTTTGCATAAAAATGTAACTTATTAGATGTATGTCAAAACCTGCATGCCCAAGTATGTTGTCCAGGTAGGCAGCACACTGGGTTTCAGTTACAGCCATTATTTACAAGTCATTTACATAGCCGAGCACACGAAATTGCTCACTTTATGAAAACAGCTTCATTTTAGCTATATCAGTGTGCAACTGTAAGCTTACAAAGGCCTCGTGTGCATGATGTGACATTTTTTGGTTATTTATCATTTCTCCAAACTAACGTTAATATTAGTTTGTTAGATATTTGCTTTGTTAGATGCAGTTGCACGCACTGCAAAGAAAGTATGTACTTGAATTGGTGTCTAGACAAGATATAAATTGCATCATCAAACGCGTAATAACATGTTTGCAAACTCATTCAGGCGTTGACTGTTCTTACCTCGTCCTGTTTCTTAAAAATATCAGTTTGATCAGAGGATGGGTGTAATGTTCCAGACCAGATTTGCTGATACAAGTGACCCTTAACCTGTGGTCCAAGATATGCAGGTCCATCGTTTACTAGTCCACCAGGAAAACGCCGTTGAAAATGTATTCTATACAGTGCAGTTGGACGCGTTAAATAACGCTACGCGAGATCCGCCTATGTTATGTTACAAGACCCTGCGATCAAAACGCTTCATCCTCGTGCACTGGGCACGCTGGTGGCTGGCTGGCTGGTGCGAGTGACACATTCAATGTAATCCGATTCGAGAAATTATTGGAAAGTGGATTTAAAGAACTGTTTACAATTAGATATACAGTCCGCTTCCTCCAGGGGGCGTTTGGAGCCTCAGAAAGCTCATTCGAATTCACATCGCTGCTTATTTGTCTTATTGGAGATATTTGTAGATTAAACTTTTTATTTTTAACATGTAGATTTAACATTATTAATATTTTAAAGGATTGTCACCTGACACGTGAATAGATCTATCCTTGCAAGCTGTTAAAACATTTTATTTTTTTTAAATCATCATCACAAGTGATCGTGATTTCACATGTGATTGGTCGATCCCGAGCCGCGCTGAGAAAAGAAACAGGTATCACGTGACAACGCCGTTTGTATTTCACTTCTCTATCAGTATTTTATTTATTTTTTTCTTGAAAAATATCTAAAAATCCCTAAACCAAACATTCCAGGCAGTAATTAACACCTGTAAAAATGACATGGAGCAACTGAGAAAAACGTTTATTATAAAATAGGAAAATTATTATTTAAATCCATCAAATCCCCTTGCGCGAAGCCCCGCCCACCTTGAGCGCACGTTTCCCGCTAACTGTCTTTCTACCAGTTCATTTTCTTCTACTTGTATGGTTCGGCAGTTGTGTCACACGCCCCCTTGTTCTTAAAGGGACAGCAGCATTTAAGATGGGCCAATTTCACAAAAATAACTGCTCTACAGATGAAAAATGTACCTTTTTTATGCATATCTGGCACATTTACATTTATGTTGTTCATTAATGTGCACTGCCCCTGTAAACAAGTGAAATAAAGTAAACATGAGAGACTGCAAGACTGAAAAGAAGTCAGCACAGCCATATTTGCTTTGTTTTAAAAAGCAATGTTTGCATAGTAGTATGATTTTACATTACTATATCTATATGTTGCTGTTTTTTTCTCCACTTTATTTGTACTTGAGTGTATGTGTGTATATATATATATATATATATATATATATATATATATATATATATATATATATATATATATATATATGTCATTGGTCTCTTAAGCAGCTATGTCTTGTTAATAATAAAAGGTACAGAAATACAATCAAATAAAAACACATTTTGTTTTTAAAATTAAGACAGTCATCTCTATTTAATACAGATTGTTTCAAAGCAGCTTTACAGTGATAAAGTGGAAGATAATGTTCAATGATGCAAACACAATTCAATTCTCTAAGATTCAGCTCTAAGACAGTAGTGTCATTTATTCAGCTGCAGTTCATAGTTGATTCAGTTCAGTAATTGTGTAAAGTTCATCAATTATGTAATGAGTTCAATTCAGCTGTATAGCAGCTCTGCAGAAAACAGTGATGTCATCATTCAGCTCAAAAAAATCTTGACAAACGTTTTAAGTGGATCTATGGGATTATAAAAAAAAAGTATGACATGATCCCCTTAAATAAATGCTTTCAAAGAATAGAAAAATTAGGTGCAGGACAGCCCTCTCCATGGTTGTTTATAAAAAAAAAAAAAAATGTCAGCCTCTGTTTTCATTTCATTTCTTGTATTATTAGAAAGATTAAAAAAATACATATATTTTCATCATTATTTACTAATTAACCCTTATGTTTCTCCAAACTCGTATAAGTTTTTTTTTTGTTTTTTGTCAGTTTGAAGTGAAAGGCAAAGGCCTATTTTTGTGCTTCCTGAAATAAAATCTCAATCTACTTGCTGCAATCTTCAATGCACTGTAGAACGTTTAAAACATAACCTACAATAAATGAGACTAGAGCCTATTTTGACATAATAATAAAACAATTTTTGGTGCATGGCATCATCACTGGTTATTAAGGTTACAGAAGCTGTTATTGTATTATTAGAAAGATTTAGGTCAATCTTGAAGCTTATTGGAAGAGTTACCCAAAAGCAAATTCTATCATCATTATTTACTCCAAAGTCATATAGGCCTACACCACTATTTTTACAGTGGAACACAGTTTTGGGAGGGCAATTGTGAAGAATCGTTACGCAGCTCTTTTCCATACAATGCCTTTTATAGTCACCATGTCTGGAAAGCTCCAAAAAGGCATACGCGTCACGTCCATATGATCATATATGCTGTATATTCCAAGACTTCTGGAGCTTTGTATGAGAAACACTTATTTTTATTCACTGATAGACGGAAGCTCTGAAATGTCATTGCAATGTTTAAAATATTGTCGACAGCATGTTTTAGTGAAAACAGACAATTGTTTCTTATATCAACCGGCAGAGAGGCACAAGTTCCTTCAATTGCATAAGTAACTAAATAGCTGATTGTGTGGTGCGACACACGGCTTTCATCCATCAGGGCAACTCATGTTCCGGGGACACTAAACAGGGGAGCAGATTTATTGTCCAGGGGAAACAATCTGTACGTGGAGTGGAACCTTGTGGCGTACGTTGGGTAAGGGGGTTTGCTGGACTATTTATTAAATATAATGAGTAATTGTGTCTGATTGGTAGGCCTACAGCCGCCACAGCTTTTTGATGCTGGTTAATTCACTGCCATTATATGGACAAGCAGGACTTTTTTTCTCTTTTTGTTGTTCGAAAAAAAAAAAAAAAAAGGGCATACATCATTAAAACAACACCAGGGTGAGTAAATGATGACTTGATGTTCATTTTAGGGCGAACTATCCCTTTAACTGCAGTTTGTATGTGGCCAGTGAGGATCCCAGGCAATAAGCACTGTTTTAGAACTTTTGCCAGATTTAGCCACCGAATTTAAACTTTTAAAATTTAAATTAAATTAAAATTGACAATTTAAAATTGTCAACGACATTTAGCCTACCTGTCAAGCTAAGTGAGGTCTGCATCTGTTTTCAAGCGCTCTCAGCTTCCGGTTTCGCATATGAACGTGACTGCCCTGAAATGATTGACAGACAGGAAGCCTGTTTTAATTGTATTGTATTTTGTGGCGGAAATTTATACTATTAATACCACTTGGACATAAAGGCAATCTCACGGGATGCGGAAAGCACAATCTCTAGGCCACACACGACTCTCTCTCTCACACACAACAAGCCTTTCAGAAGCGCGCGTGTCTGGCTTTAAAAGTCACTAGTCATCATCAGCATGCAAGTGCTCCATCTTTTGTATTTATGTCCGGATAGTTGTATTTGTTTTGATGACATTTTCGCGTACATCGGGGTCTTTTGCAAGTACATGTAGATTAATTCGCCTTTGGCTAAGCCACACCCTAGAATGTAGATTGACCAATCACAGCGCAGCCAAGAACGAGCTCCCACAGAGGTCCGACACTTTTTCACAGCGCTCCATTGACTTTAACACAGCCGTCTCATATTTTTGGTCTCGGCAGGCTATTACCGTCGTAGTTTTATCAAAAATATGGTTAAACGTTGTGCCTGGGGCATTTGTAACACAGATACGCGTTTCCCAGAGAGGTTGGAGGGGGGTGTGCGTTTTTTTCCCTTCCCAAAACCGAAGTCAAATCCTGACAACTAAAAGTGTCGTCTAGCACACGCTGCTAATAAATACAACGTTATACTCGCGTAGTCCGTTTGCTTTGTAATAACGATTATAGAAGTGAATAGAGACCTACCCAGCTTTGCATGAACAGTGTTGCTCCTTGATATTGTTAGTCCCAGCCTCCGTCTCGATTAGTACGATATGCGGTGGTTCATTTTTTGACTGTGACCGGTATGCATTGCCTCTATTTTGGATGCCTTGTTGTTCCTTGCGTTTCACCTGTATGTCATGAACGTATGCCTTCAAACGTATATCGCAGCCCCTTTTGACTACTTCTATCGGACACTTTATTTGCTGCTTTATAAAAGTTTGATAAAATTTCAGCAGGAAGAGCTGTCACAGCATAAGCCATGTTGATACCAGAGCCCAGATGAAGTTTGTTTGTCGGACGTAGCAACAGTAACTAAGGGGGGCGGGGCCTAGCCAAAGGCGAATTGATGCTGACTTCAGGTCTGCGTGCGATGACGATTCGAATTTTAGTTGCTATAGCGACGCGCCTTATGAACTTGTTTGTTTGTACACTCAAACATCGCTATCTGTTGCTTGAGAGACGAGGCGAATTCAGAGACTTTTGCCGAGTATTTTCTGCGCAGATTAAAGGAGAACTCCGGCGCAAAATGAACCTTTGGTCTAATAAAACATTGGTACCTAGTCGACCGTTCTCTGAGATTTGTTTTCATGATAATCGAATGTAAAGAGTTGTATCTCTAAAAACTGTTTAGCGTATAACGCTAGTATGGGGGCATATAATAAGTAAAAAGAAATCGCCAGTTTATACCACTAACAAGGCTCTAAATAGCCCCACACGAACACAGTAACATAATGAGGGTCCCTACATGCAAAACGAAGCATTGAGAACTTTGTAAGTGTACAGACCGCTTAATAAGAAGATAAAGATAAAGACAGTCCACTTCGTGTATACAGACAGACAGGAGCCATCTTTGGAAAACAGTCGCGACTAATCAAACCACGAACGCCATTCATACAGTTCAGAAGTTCACTGAACTTCATACAGTTCAGCTCACTTAGCACGGCGTTCGTGGTTTGATTAGTTTATTAGTTTTCAACCAGTAAGAGTTGCGTTTGTGGTGTTTGAGTTGGGAGAAGGCGTGAAGCATGCAAGGTCTTGTGGAAACATGTTCTTTTTGATGCAGAAACTGCATACTTCACCTTTAAAGTAAAGATAAAAAACACGCTACCTTACATCTATCATGTTTAGATGCCAAGTCACATGCTCATGACTAACCAGCTCTCTTCTTATTAATATTGGTACAGAATGCAGTGATCTGGCGCCTTACAAAGGATCCAACTAAACGGCCGACGTTAGAGCAGATGTTACAACATAAATGGATTAGAAAATGATCTTCTTGTAGATTGGAGAAGTTCAGGAGATTCACATGATCAGTAATTACAGGTGTGAGGAAGTGTAACAGAGTAGGATTATTATCATTTGTTGTTATCATTTATCTATTTTCAAATTTGTGTGTGTGAGTGAACAGAGTTCATTTTAATGTTGTTGTCATAGTCTAGTCACCTTCATTTATATAGCGCTTTATACTATACAGATTGTTTCAAAGCAGCTTCATGATATTAAACAGGAAAATAACAGAATCGGTGATGCAAACAGAATTCAATTCTGCTGTAAATACATTTATAAGTTGACATGGTCATATAATCTTTGTATTGGATAGGAAATAACATACTTGCTGTCCTTGGTGGAGGGCTTGAGCTCGTGATGTGACCCGAAGCCCGAAATCCAACTTCAACTCGACAGGGAACTCGAGCCGCCACACCAGAGAGCTCAGAGCCTGGCAACACGGGGGATCTTTCGGACAGTAAGTCAATCAAGGACAATTTGGGATCCTAAAGTTAAGCCAAGGGGCCTCTTAGGTGGTCATTTGAACACACAAAGTATTGTATAATAAAGCACTTTATTATATCAAAAAGTGATCAAATTCATCATCTTTTACTGGACTCTAATTTAGATTTTCTTTGTTTATCTGAGACATGGCTTCATGTAAACTCCCCGTCAGCAGCATTATTAGAAGCACCTGCTTTTAAACTGTATAAGAAAGATAGAGTTGGTTCTAAGGGGGGTGGAGTTATGATCTATGTGAAAACTGGTTTCCAGTCTAATGAAATCGCTTGGTCAAATTGTATGGGTTTGGAATGCATTGGTCTGAATCTTATTCTATCACCACAAAGGTCATTTGTATTAATTGTAATTTATCGTCTTCCCTCCTCAAATAGTAGTTTTTAATACAATTTAAAAACTTCTTCTTTTTTTTTTACATTAGTATATCTAGCTAATACAGTGGAACAAGCATTTACTTTAAAAGGAGTCAATGAATTAGACATTTTTTGAACATTACATCTCTTAAACCATCCAGAGCAAAGGATATATTTGGTATGGATGCAGTAATGCTTAAAGAGCTCAGTGAGTCACTAGTTAAAACTATCACCAAAATGATCAACTGTTCACTTGGAAGTCATCATCTGCTGTAGTGCCTATATCTAAAAGTGGAGATTCTCATGCTGTTAGTAATTGCAGACCTATTAGTGTTTTACCAATAGTCTCAAAGGTTGCAGAGAAATGAATGGCTGTGCAAATCACTGATTATCTAAATACTAGTTCATTTCATACTAGTTCATCCGATGCAATTTGGCTTCAGAGCAAACTTCGACTAAAAAGTTAAGTCACAAAGGTGGGGTTTTCGGGCGGTGTTTCTTGACCTCACAAAGACTTTTGACACTGTGAACCACAGAAGTCTTATGTCTAAATTATTAGCTACCACTACTCTAAAACCATTGGACTCTCTACATAAACAATCACAAAAATTCTTGATTAAAAAAATTCTGTTAATTTTCATCATTGCTCAATACTAAAAAAAAAAAATACAATTTGCTAAATTGGGATAATCTGATGTAGATGTTTGTCTTATGTTTAAGACTATACATAGCCTGTCTCTCCTGTTAAAACTGTTAACATTAGAACAACTGCACATCGGTCCACAAGGGCTGGAGAAAGAGGGGACTGTATTATTCCTCTCAGAAAAAGTCAATTTAGTCGGTCTGTATTTTCAGCAAAAGCCGCAAGGGAATGGAACTCCATCCCATCAATAATTAGAAGACTGGATATACATATGGTTAAAAAAAAAATGGTTACTTACTACTCAGCACTGTCAACATTAGTGTCTTAATATTCTGATTTTAGCTTCTTTGTAATAATTGCGCTGAGTTATTTGCTTTCTCCTGTCACCATTTTTTCTTACCTCTTATGTAGCACAATATGTTTAGAAAAAAATTTCTGTTAGTGTATTTTCTCAATAAAAGTGTATCAATACTCTTTTTTCTTCTTTCTCTTTTGAGTGTTTGTAGATGCTTGGTTTTTAGGGTGACTTTTAAACATTCTGTCAAGGCCATGAACTGTTAATATCTTCAGTCTAGATCTTAAATATCAAATCTCTACAATTTTTTATATTGTAATTAAATTATTTTATTTACAATAAGGCCTTAATAATATAAAATCCTCCACATTATGCTTTTATGCACTAAACGCAATTTTTTTTCTAGATCTGCTGTAAAGCCGAAACAAACTTTGTCATATTCTTTTCCCTGTTATCACTGTAAAGCTGTTTTGAAACAACCTGTATTGTAAAAAGTGCTATGGACTATATAAAGGTGACTTTACTTAACTTATACAATATATCATTAGCATCAAATTAAACAATTGTAAATCATTGTTTCATAGGCAAGTGTTTTTTTACGCAGTGAACTCCAAAACCTTACTGCTTTCATTTTAAACCAGGCAAATACTATACTGTTACAGAAATTTACCATGGTAACACTATAAACGTATTATAAAATCATAAATAAACATCCAGGATTTCCCTCAAACAGTGTAAGAAGAGACTACAAGTCAACAGAAATGTATCAATTTATTAATATACACCTAAAATCGAGTTTTCAATTTCTGTGCTCTAATTAAGGACATCATGATAAAGTATTCTGATAACTGCATAATTGCAGGTAATTGCATAATTTAATTGTTAAGCTATAGACAAGCACCAGCCTTTCAGATAAAAGTTTCCTCAAAAACAGGTCAAACAAATCAAATGATCCAATAGAAAAGAGAACAATGTCTAAAAATTACAAGACTGTAATTTTTAAATTGTATGTGTATATATATATTTCAGATTGCTGTTTTAATTTTACACTAAAACAGTCTGATACAAAGGCACCAGAGTTTATCATTGTGGTTCTCAGAATGGCATTTACAGTTCTACTCTAACACAACTGTCTTCTTCAAGAGGACCTGAAGACCTTGATCATCTGGTTCAGATGTGTTTGAACAAAACTCTACATGAATTGGATTTCCAGATGAATTGTCAACCTATTGAGAATAATCACAGGGGAAACACTGTTGCTTTACTGCAGAGAGGAGTGTTGCATTGGAATCATAATTCTAGATTCCATCTTTTGGATGAGAGGCACTGTCAAAAAGAAGACATAAACAAGTCAATGTACTGATCAAAAGCTGTTGCATTGCTTAGATGTGATGTATCGTGTGTGAACAGTTCTACTGAAATTCACTTTTGCCAAAGCGTCTATATCCAGCGCACATGGCACCCTTTAGCGTCATATGAGACGCAGATATATGGCGCCTCCTAGTGGTTTAACCCTAACACTACCCCAGACCTAAACCTACCCAAAACCGAAGCGTGTTATATTGACGCTAAAGGGTGCCATATGCGTTGGATATAGACGCTTTGGCAAAAGAGTCAATATATTACGCTTTGGGATGAGAATGCGTTGGATGGCATCGTTTACAAAGAAAACACTTTGATTGCTTACTATTTCTGTAGAACACTATATACTGTTTGCAGAATGCAAATTCCTGTTAGCTTGGAATACCCTGAATTCCCTAATCTCTTTTTTTGACTCAGTATTTGATCAGACGGACAAAAGTTAAGACATTTTTACATCATTTGAAAAGAAATAGCTAAATATCTTTATTTCAGAGATAATAATAAGTGGACAATGTAGGATACCAACATTTAAAACATTTCTGGTTGTAAAAACAGTAATATTGTGAAATATTATTACAATTTTAAATAAGTGTTTTCTTTTTAAAGGAACACTCAGACTTTTGGGGACTTTAGCCTATTCACCTTATCCCCCAGAGTTAGATAAGTCCATACATACCTTTTTCATCTCTGTGCGTGCTGTAACTCTATCTGACGCACCCACCGATAGCCTAGCTTAGCACAAAGACTGGATGTAAATGGTTGCAGCTAGCATACTAATCCAAATAAGTGACAAAATAACGCAAACATTTTTCTATTTACATGTTGTGATTTGTATAGTCACAGAGTGTACAAAAAACAAAGTCACATGAGACACAGACATATTTTAACCGTATAAATACTGGGAACTATATTCTCTGAAGGCGAAGCACTGCTACTTGGGCGGAGTGATAACCGCAGCACCTGAGACGAGCCGTGGTGAGGAGCAGAGAGCGCGTCTCAGGTGCTGCGGTTATCACTCCGCCCAAGTAGCAGTGCTTCGCCTTCAGAGAATATAGTTCCCAGTATTTATACGGTTAAAATATGTCTGTGTCTCATGTGACTTTGTTTTTTGTACACTCTGTGACTATACAAATCACAACATGTAAATAGGAAAATGTTTGCGCTATTTTGTCACTTATTTGGATTAGTATGCTAGCTGCAACCATTTATATCCAGTCTTTGTGCTAAGCTAGGCTATCGGTGGGTGCGTCAGATAGAGTTACAGCACGCACAGAGATGAAAAAGGTATGTATGGACTTATCTAACTCTGGGGGATAAGGTGAATAGGCTAAAGTCCCCAAAAGTCGGAGTGTTCCTTTAAATATATTTTAATGTATTAATTTCTGTGATGGCAAAACTGAAATTTCAGCATCATTACTCCAGTCTTCGGTGTCACATGATCCTTCAGACATCATTCTAAGAGGCAGTTCACATAGAAAGGTTTTTTTTCATTCCACTGCACTACTTTTCCACTGTTTTTCAATGTGAACACACACTAGACGGACGTCTTTAACCTTTGTGCTCGCGTCTAGCATCTTTCTTGCAGTGTCTAAAAACGTAGCTTTCAAGTTAAAAGAATTTCAACTTTTTAAAAATGCGTCCCTAGACCTTGCCTTTTCTTCCATTTCAACAAAAATGTAATAACAAATTCCATTTAGCAACAAAAAAGCGAACGGTAGTGTACATCTCTGTAAAGCTACTTTAAATGATATGCATAGTGAAAAGTGCTATATAAACATGACTTAACTTGACATGCTATTTTACATTCTTTTCTAAATATATAGGCAGTAGCCTATACAGTATATTATGGAAGCTTGTTTCTGCCATGAAAAAAAGAAGAAGGTAATTGCTTTTTCTTGCAATTGTGAGTTTACATCTCGCAATTCTTACTTTTTTTCTCCAGAATTGCATGATATAAAAGCGCAATTGCCTGTTTTAAAGTCAGTCTTTTTTTCCTCAGAATTTGACTTTACATCCCGCAATTCGGAGAAAAAAGTCAGAATTGTGAGATAAAAATAAACGGAAAGCTTCCATAGTATGCATAACGTTATAGACATTAGACGCCATATTGAATTTCAGTCGCGGTCACAGATTATGAGCAAGCGAAATTTCTATGGGCACTGCAGCAGTCGTGATATGACATCACACTCTGCAGCATATTTTTTATAAACATAAATTTAACATAAGACAAATAACAATGAATCCAAAAAGTAAAAATATACAATCTACTCCACTTTTCAGCAAAAATAAGCATTCTTTTAATTCAGCCAAGAGGTCAAGCCATGGCTTATCTATTCTATTAGCCACGCGTCTTCACCAAAAATTTGGAACGTGCCGAAATGCGAAACATCTTCGCAAGAACTAGGTTTCATTGTGGTTTTGTCTAGTGAATGTTTTTCTCTGAAAGATGTTTCGTCAGCTGAACAATTGGTATGTTGTTAAACAACAGTACAATCCATTAAATGCACTGTACTTCTATACCTCACAGCCTCATTTTCATTCCCAACAAAACCTGCCCTGACTAAGGTCTATTATGCAGTATGCAATAATCAGTATGCTAATATTTTATTCCAAACATCCCCTGTCTTTGTTCTTACTCACTTGTATAGTGCACATTTACATCCCAGCCCTCTTTTAACCATGCAGTGTTTCTGGTCTCTTCTCTGGACTGCAGGTCTTTATAAGCTAAAAACACATTAAGTATTTTCAGAGATTTTAAAGTGTTGCCACTTATTAATATGCAATAGGGATGTCCCGATACCACTTTTTCACTTCCGATACCGATACCAATGCCGCAGCTTTGGCTTTTGCCGATACCGATATTAATCCGATATTTTTATTTTATTCTTAAACTAATAAAAAATATAGCAATTTTCTCAATTAGCCAGCTAAAATATACCTCCTATATAGTCCACAACAACAGTTGATTATGAAAGATTGCCACCCTTTATTCAAACACTACAAAAAAATAAAGAAATATATAAATGAAAGAAAATACAGGTACTTCAGTACTTAAAGCTAGCTAGCTACCAACAGGTTTAAAGTTAAAACAATTTAAACAGCAGCATTCTACATTGTAAATACCAGTACAGTTTTTGTTTTTTAAATCAAGTAGAATTTCTATAACTGTGTGTTAAACTGATTATCACTCTTGTGTGTGTTAAACACAATCTACTTAATACAGACAGCTTCATTATAAAGATAAACAACAAATCCCCAAAATATATGATCATAATCTATGACAAAAATGCTATTATAAACTAGATTAGTGGATAATACACATGGCTCTTTTTATTGTTGTAAAATACATTCATGAAAAACAAGATAACAAAAATGAAAAAGATAATTATTTTAGATATAGCTAAATCTGCTATAAAATTGAGACATGTTTTAAGTGTATTGCACAGCTATTTAATGAGGCAGCAACATTAATAATTATTAATGTTAATAAGCTTTAATTGCGTCACTGCATTATGATATGAAAGGCTCCAATACAGTGCGGCACAAAGCGCTTATGCGCATCCCGAGCGGAGAATGATGCGCTTGAAGCCACGTGGAGTTACAGCACGCAGCGCGTCGAGTCCGCTTTGAAAAGTTCAAAGCACAACGGAGATACATATTGATGGACAGTGTATTATACAGTATCTATCTATGCAATCGTTTATTGAGCCTTTTCTTTTAACAGTTTTAAATTTCAGTTACTGTGCGCGTGAAGAACAATTATAGTGCTCTGACTCTAGTGTTGTGATCAAACCGACAGCGTCCGACACCCGGTAGAGAGTAACACGATTGAGTTACAGCAATAAAGTCCAGCAAGATAAAGTTGTTTTATGCGAAAACATAGACCTTTATCTTACAGATCAAGTATAATAGTATTAACATTGAATCATCTTGAAGATAGTTTCATCATTGACTGTAACCGAACGCGACGCGCTGTTTGAATGCTGAATGGAGAATGACTGACAGCCGCGAGAGGGAAAAGTTTACGTGAACTTGAATTTAATGACTTAAATATTAATTTATATCTCACATAATGGCTTCAGAACACTTATAATAGAGTGCACGAAAACGTTATGGTACTTTAGAATGTTTTTGTGCCTTTTGTGGGGCTTAACAATAACACATAATAGTATACCCACAATATCGGATTTGGATCGGCCTCGTCTGATCGATGCTGATCGATACCCGATCCCGCAAAAATGACAGTATCGGAGCCGATACCGATCCTGAGTATCGGATCGGGACATCCCTAATATGCAACGATCAGAAGGAGAAGAAAAAGGATGTTTCATACCCCATAAATGATGAACAACATACAAATCACCGATCTGTGTGAAGAAGCCGCCCACTGCTTCATTGTTTTCCTGTCTATATTTGATTGCTCGAGCCCTGAAACATGATAAAACAGATCAAATATGCAACATGGTGATATAATATCAATATTTTTCACAAATCACACACAAACTTACCAATGATTTCCCCATTCGATCATTGTACCAGGCTTGATTGAGAAATTTCAGGACAAACAAACCAAAAAAAAGAAAAAGTAAAAAAACGGTGTAAAATGCAATGCATATTATTTTTTTTAAAAGAACGATTAAATGGTCTTTACTAGTAGTTGATATGATCTCATTTCATAAATGTTGGGGCCGGTTCTGGGCGCAGGCTCGTTCCAGAAACTAAACTCCAGAAGAAGCTGGTTGCGTCGAGAGATCAACATTTTGCTCCTTTCTTTTCGAAATGCAAGATACGTCTGTACAGGAAAGATTTTTGGTAAAGGACACAAATATATGGATTATGACATCATTAAATGCAATTTTTAAGAGCACAGAGATGTGTTAAATACCGTATTGAGGTTGAGTTTGTGCAAACACTCCATAAGAGCAGGATATCCACCAGAGTATCTCCAGAGATGCACTACAACCACAAAACAGCATGTGTCACTATAGTACTGTCACATCACACACAAAACATCCAGACGGTGCTTGAAAAACCCAGTGATGTATCACTGATAAAAAAATACTATATGCTACAGAAAAAACACATAATTTCTACCGGAATAAGTTAGTTCAGGTGAGAATAATAATAAAAAAAGGAATTTCTATATTAGTACTCAATTTAAGCTTGTAGAAATTAAAGCGTAAATACAAACTTAATAAAATGAAGTAAGACCAACTCAACTTTCTGATACTGGTGTTCCCATCATGCACTGGGACATTTTTCACTGTTTTCCTGCTGTATTTACACAGTTTTATCATTGATTTTGCGGTTAGGTTTAGTACTTGCTGTTTAGTGACATCTTTTCCTAATCAAAATTCCACATTCATACTCAATGATCCAACAAATGTTACCGTTATTGTGTATTATGTACCAAGTATTGCGATCTCTGTGTTCGATGGGGTAGCACATTACTTCTATTATGTAGATATGTTTACAGATATTTATAGTACTTAGATGTTCTAAGTAAAGCATACACTTTACAAGCATGGCTTAATTCAGTGTTACATTGTTTGAGAAAAGGGTACTTGAAACTGAGCATTGCAAAGTAAACTTCAACTTCAAAAAAATGGAATTTACTCAACAAACTTTCACTGGCCAAGTTAAAGTTACTTATTTTCTTTGTTAATTTTACTTAACTTAAATGTGTGTGCAAAAACTGGCAAAAGAAAAATTAAGTAGATTTTACTTCTTTTTTATCTGTGTACAGTAAGAACAAACTAACTTTAGTAAAGAATTATACTTTCATTCACTAAGGACACATTCAATTGATCAAAAGTGACAGTCAAGACATTTATAATGTTACAAAAGGTTTCAATTTCAAATAAATTAATTTTTCTTTTGAACTTATTACTCATCAAAGAATCATTTCAACACTGATAATAATAAACAAATGTTTCCTGAAATCAGCATATTAGAATGATTTCTGAAGAATCATGTGACCGAGTAATGATGCTGGAAATTCAGCTTTGATCACAGGAATACATTTACATTTAAATTGTGTTGCTGTATTTTAAATTACAATGATATTTCACTATATTACTTTTCTTACATTTTTGTTCAAATTAATGCAGCTTTGGTGAACATTAGAGACTTTTTCCAAAATATTAAAAAATAACTGACTTGAAACTTCCGAACGGTATACATAAAAAAAATATTTTATTTATAAAGCACAGTAAAAACAACAGTAGTTGACCTCTGTGCTGTACAACTGAAATTAAAGGGATAGTTCATCCAAAAATGAAAATTCTGTCATAATTTACTCGCCCTCAAATTGTTTAAAAAACCTGTTTGAGTTTCTTTCTTGTGTGGAACATAAAAGAAGATATTTTGAAGAATGTTGGTAATGTTGGACCCCATTGACTTCCATGGCATGAAAAAAAAATCGATCAACTGTTTAATTACCCACATTCTTCAAAATATCCTCTTTTATGTTCCACACAAGAAAGAAACTCATACAGGTTTGGAACCCATTGAGTGTGAGTAAATTATGACAGAATTTCCATTTTTTGTGTGAACTATCCCTTTAAAGGAAGACACTGAATTTAGACCACAACTCAATAAAAAGAGGAAGAGTCAAAACACTTATAAGACTCTAATAGTAGCTTAGATTTAAAGGGGTGATGAACTGAGAAATCAAATTTTCCTTGAGCCTTTGACATCTAAGAGGTCATCATATAAGAATATCCTGTAAGTTTCAGAACTGAAAAAGGCCTTGTTAGTCCAATAAAAGCTTTTATTGACACCAGGCTCAGCAAACGACTTGTTTTTCAAAGCGGGGAACTATGACGACAAAGAGGATAAAACGGCACCCCCGCAGAAGAAGATCGACGCCTACTTCAACACGGCCGGTTTAGCCCCGCCCACCGATTCGCGCATTACACGCATAGCTAAATAACATAGGCCTACCTCATTATAATATGCAAAACTGTTATCCACTCACAGCAGTGGGCGTTTACTTCCAAGTCTTCAATGGGAGACGCCCATAAAAACCGAGCGTTTTTGAGCTAGGCTCAAAACTAGGGTAGAAAATAGCCTATTACTTATTCATTTTGATGTTTTTGAATGTAAAAACCGAGCGAACGTCATAAGTTGACCTCGGACAACAATATAAAAAAATTTAAAAAGCCAGTTCATGACCCCTTTAATTCAGATTCTGTCAAAACTACTCTGAGATTATTCCACAGTTTTGTCCCAGCAATGGAAAAAGCAAAATACTTTTTCATCTCACCTGCTTGATCCTGTTCACCATACCAGGTGTTCCAGCTTCCGACGACTTCACATGGATAATCTGCATCCCGATGGAGTTCTTTCTGAACCTCATCCCTAAAATCAGACAGTGGGGAGTGATTAAAAAAAAACATGGTTATTAATTTAAACTTGTTTTAAACTCATATAATATGGTCAATAGGCTATTAAGAACCACATGAAATGGTTTTGCGTGCAGTTTTCATTTCATATCGATGCTATACAACACTGTAAAAAAAAAAAATTAAGTACAATCAACTTGAATGTTTAAGTAATTTCAACTTAAATTACATTAAACTGATTTTTTTTAAAACGAGTTAAATCTTTAACTTATAAAAAAACTTCTTTTTATGAGTTAAAAGCAATGTAAAAACATATGTTGTCATAACTTATTGATCATATCATTTTTTTACAGTGTAATGATAACATATCACGGTCACATGGGACAATCAAGGAATCAAAGTACATCAAATCTAGACATGCAGACCTGAGAGTGTCATACTGAGAGAAAGCAAGGCTGCATATGAATAAAATAGGCTTGATCCGCTGTATATGATCACTTACGACAGTTTGTTGTATGCCTCCATGCACTCTGGCTTGACATTGTGAACTGCAAGAAAAAATAAGATTTGAAGATGTCAGGAAAGACAAATAGACCAGTATCTTAATTTTGTAAAGTTTTGAATTTAGTGACATCCCTTGTGATTTTATCACTCAAATCAACCGTTTTTATGAAATATCACGCTCATTTTTCTAAAGCCAATTTTCATTACAATTCTCCATACAGCTGGTCTCCTGAAAATAAATGAAATCTTCAAATAAACTCTTTGGAAGCTGATTTATTAAAGCAATTAGTGTAAAACAAACAGTTTAGGCTGTTTCTCTGGAGCCAAACGACAAGAAAGCACATCAATTCATGCATGGGAATATTTTTAGCAATTGCTATCAACTATATTTCATGCACAATTTCTCCCAAGGCCTGAACATTTGAGCGCATCTAGAAGGTTTTAGATGGATTGGCTCACATTGGATCTTGTAGAGGTTGCTGGTTTCTTTCTTGGAGAGCAGATTGGAGTGGGCATCTTTCCTGGCATCCACTTTGTGTGCAAACATGGAACTCAACCAGCCTTCATCACTTTTATTTGCAAAACCTCTAAAGATTCACAAGCAAAACTGTTTCAGCAAGTGTTTAATAAATATATAAATGATGCATCACAAGCTGCAATGCAGAAGCGTGTACGTACGCACATGGGTAGTTAGTTGATGTGACGTTTCAAGGAATGACATTTTAAATTCCATCTTAAATAATTATTATGCACGCAGTTTTAGTGACTTAATATTAACTTTTAAAGTGCATACGTGGGTCAAAAATTAATGCAAAAATTAGATGCATATTGTTACATAACATGAATTATGGCAATAAAAAAATGCATTTGAATGATAATTTACATGGAGAGCTTACTTCACTATACTTTGGGGACAAATTTGCTCCCTGTGGAGACCACTGAGTCATAAATGAATTCATGTTTTTACTCTAAATATGCAAAAGGTTTTCTTTGGTGAATTAGCCTGTAGATATTATTATTTTTTAGCTTTATATAGCAGTCTATGTATGTCTTCATTAGATTGGTAGGATAAGTAAGTAAGTGTGTGTGTGTGTGTGTGTGTGTGTGTGTGTGTGTGTGTGTGTGTGTGTGTGTGTGTGTGTGTGTGTGTGTGTGTGTGTGTGTGTGTGTGTGTGTGTGTGTCTAACCTCAGGTTGCTCCAGGTATACTATAAATTGCTACAACTTATGAATATACAAAGTCTTTTAAAATAAAACTTGTCTTGTTCCAAGTTAAAACTAAGTGCTCAAAGACAGAAATGATTGGAATGTCAGAGGAAATATTTAATGTGAATAATCTAGCAATATTATATGCATTGTGGGTGCACATTTAGAGACTAGAACTAGATGCACTCTTAGAAATGTCAGACTGCAGGACTCTTATGCAGCACTAAAACCTATATCCATTATGCATTTACATGCATTTTAGCATAAAACACCTGATGTAATATCAACTACCCACATACTGAATATGACTGATTTGACTCTAGATCTGCACTTTTACTTGCATTGCTGATTAACTTTAATTAGCAATTGTGTCGTATTACATGCATCTCAAAGTGACAAAAGCACATTACCTGGCCAGCCATGCGGAATGCACCTTGTTAAGGAAATGCTGCTGTCTCTTGAGGATATGTAGAGACCGTGTTGCCGCCATTATTCTCGCTGTTGTTTATAGATTCACGTCTATATGAAGTTGCAGGAGTTGCAACACACGCGCTTCTCGGAGTTAATGTTTGACGCGCGTGAACTGTTGGACTTCAGCTCCATGTGCGCCTTTGATTCATGAAACGTCACTTTTAGAAACTCATTAATCAAGATGATTAATCTGTTGATTTGGTCGCTGAGGTAATTAAATTACAGTCAAAACAGGAAATAAAGAAAAAAACAGTTTGAAACAGACTACTACGCTGGTTTGCCCGTTTTAACGTGCTGCCTAAATACCATAGTTATTATTTGTAAGGAAGATGTGACACTGACATGATGTTGTTCACTTGAATAGTCTTCCAGTGTGATAAATAAGTTTTAGAAGTGCAAATATTAATACTGTTATGTTTTATTCAACAATGAAGGATTAAATTGATCAAAAGTTACAATCCTAAAAAATGCATCATACTTTTCACAAAACCTTCGAGCAGAACAATTGTTTTCAACATTGATAATAATTAAAAAATGTTTCTTGAAATCAGGATGTTAGAATGATTTCTGAAGGATCATGTGACACTGAAGACTGGAGTAATGATGCTGAAACTTGACAGGAAGAGATATATTATTTTAAATTGTACTAATATTGAATAATATTCACTGTATTTTGAGTAAATGCAGTCTTGGTGAGCATAAGATATATATATATTTTTTTTAAACATTAAAAAATCCTGCAGACCCCAATTTTTTAAAATGGTATTGTAGTAATGAATTGCATAAATGTTGTTTACAATGATTTTACACAAATTCTAGCTTGTTAATTGCTCCACACATCATGTCAACTACCCATTTTGTTTGATATGTTTTAAAGTGTAAGGTCACTAATGCCATCAAACCCTGATCTATACATCATTCTACTGAATCATTGTTCCCATAATGCCAGAAACCGATCCATCATCTATGACTTGATCCAATTTACCATATGGAGGAGTGTGAGGCTAGATTCAAATCAGTTTAGTCTCAATTGTATGCAAGATCAAAAATACATTTGCAGTTTTACATGCCTATGGATTGTCCAGAATGTTTTACACATTTCAGGTCTTTTTTTCCACTGTGATTCACTTGGAGGTTTGGGAGTGTTTCTTTGGTGCTGTTGAGTAAGTCTTTAAATTCTTGGTCCACGCAAATGTCCTACAAGAAAACCGATGTTAGAAATAAAGACCAATAAATATCAACGGAAATATGAGAAATGAATGGGTAAGGGTCACTCACCGTGAAGTCCAAGAACTCAACTGCAGATTCTGGGTTTGCTTGAACTGATTTTAGAATGGCGAAGCATCCCGCCGACTGCATTGGGTTCCTGGACATCTGGATCATTCCGGAAAACCAACAGAATTAGTCATAATAACACATACAGAAATGCTATAAATCTCTTCTGGCAAAGAATTGGAAGTTTACGCTCAAAAGCCACTTTAGTATTACTCGCTTCAATAACTCATCTGCTGTTCCTATTCTAATGTTTCGTACCTTGAGAATTCGTAGAGTTGTGTTCACTTTGAGGCCCAGCGCAAAATGCATGGCTCCTTCAAACGGTATGCGATTATTGCTGCAGACAAAGAAAAAAGACAATACTGAAGTATTTTTGGCAATGGAAGTAAAAGTGTTTATGAATGCGCTTGTCAAGTCTGGTGTTTGTTGATTTCACCACTGCAAATAAATCATGAATAAATGTGCATTGTGGACATTCAAACAAATTTAGCCGACAAACATAGAACAATTTCAGCCGTCGACCATCTCATAATTACGGCAATAAATCAAGACAACTGTCCAGTGTCCACGTGTGCACGAATAAGTGAGGGCAGTATGTGCCTTCAAATCATTGACTCGTGGTTGAGCACATCCTGCAGTCCATAAACACAGTTATGATATATAACCATACTATGACGACAGTACCTAATGTTCAGATCCTCCAGTGTATTGTTGTTTTTGAGTGCCTCCTCTAGAGCCACGGCACCTTCTTTGGCCAGGCCATTGTACGACAAATCCAGGGTCCGCAAGAAGATATTTCCCTTAAAAAATCAAATCCAACAGACCGACTATAGTAACATATGTGCAGAAATTAAGTGCTCCTTTTTTAAAGGGGTCATATCATATTCTACATGCAATCTGGAGGCAATCACATCATTACCACATGGTACAAGCTGATTGGCCTCTGCTGACCCTGCAGCCAATGAGAATGCTTGTCCAACATTTAAATAGTCTGGTTTGCTATAAACTAGTCAGAGTTCCTCTGAAAACCTCCACCTCTCCCAGTTCCACTTGCCTAGATCTGCTATGGGATCTATGTATCTATGTCTATTTATGCAGCATATCTTACAAGCTAACATAAAGTATCTGTGTATCTATCAGCAGTAGAAAGTCCATATTGCAGCAATAATCAGCAGCAGCAGCGTAGCAGATTTACGTAAATGTAAGTACACATTGATGGCCTAAAACACGAAACGAGCGGTTTATGTGAGAAAACGAACAGTATTTATATCGTTTTTACCTCTTGTAACGCACAGACCGAAGCGCCCGCGCCCTCAGATCACTTGGACGTGGCTGTGGTTACAAGAGGTAAAAACGATATAAATACAGTTCGTTTTCTCACACAAACCGCTTGTTTCGTGTCTTAGGCCATCAATGTGTACTTACATTTACGAGTCATTAAATCATGTTTAATTTGGACTTCTCTGTGCATGCTCTTTGAGGTGGTGACCATAGACCTGCATTATATGACTGACAGACAGGAACGGTTTGACCTAAAAATATCAAAATTGAAACTACTGCGGAAACAAAGACACCTACATCTTGGATGCCCTTGAGGTAAGCTAAAACATATCAAAAATTAATTTCAAAGTGAACTATCCCTTTAACATTGGTCTATATTCAATTACATGCTAAAACTATTCCAAGAGTTGTCGTGATGGAAATGCTCTTTGTTCATTTATTTTTGGACAGGGGAGGAAGTTTCAGTATGTTTTCATAGTGAAATTAACTCTTTGGTCTCAAAACATCAAGTGATCTTTGACTCCTCATGATAAGACTCCTTTACTGCATATAACGGGGGATCTAACAGCATTTTACTCTATCTGAGTTGTTAAAACTTGACTTGATCAATGGATTTTAGGCTAAAGTAAATTCTTAGCATGAGTGACTGACTCTGGCAGAGGATGGACTTTACTTTTCTCTTACCCCCAGGCCTTCAGCAAATGCAATGGCTCCTTTTCCTCGAATGCAGTTCCAAGCCAGATTGAGTGACTTCATTCCCGTGTTCTCGGCAATAGCAGCACCCAGGATTTCCCCTGAGGGGAGGAGAAAGATGCAGAGCAACATGGGGGAAGTTACTGTTATTAATTCAGTGTTTATGTGCCTTCCACTAATAATTTGATTTCTGTATGATCTGACTGACTAGTAATTTAGGCCCAAAATATGGTGGTCCTCTTGTAAGTGACCCTCTTCCTTAAAGGTGCATTGCGCAACTTTTCATGTTAAAAATACCTGTTTTTCTATCCTATACATGCTTAAAGAACTGCCTGATGGGCTGAATGAGCCCTTCTCTGCGCACTGAGATTGCCTCTATAATCCTGTACAGTAAAATATATAAGAGGGATTCGGGCTCGAATTTGAGACTGGGCGTGACGTCATCCGCGTTCACGCTCACCAGGCTATGTCTCGCAGGTTTGTGTATTCGCCGGCGCCGCCATTCTCCACATCAGCGAAGACAACTCGTGCGTCAAAGGTAGAAGATGGATTCAAAGAGACCGGCTTGTAGTCCATTCCAAACCCCAACGCAAACTCCACGTAAAGTAAAGAAAAGAAAAATTTTGTCTAGTGCCACCAAAAGGTCCAAATTGGAGTCAGACAGGCGTCGGAGTAACTGTACGTTCACACCGCCGCCGACTTGAGCTTCCAAAGCGGCCGGAAGTCATTCATTTTCAATGGAAGCTGGCTTTTCTCAGCTGCAAGGAGCGTCAAATCCATCGGCGTCGCGTTTTGGGCGTTTTGAGCGTCAATCAGAAAGTTGAAAGAAGCTCAACTTTATGGTAATGAGCTGTGACGCGGTTCAGCGGCAAGCAGCGGCAAAACGCCAGCAACCAATCGGAATATAGACGTCATTCGCGCTGGCTGATTCCGGAGAAACATACAATGTAAACTTTAGTTCCTACCAAAACATTAGTTCCAAGAAAATGGAGGAGAAGCTAATAATCGCCGTTGCTGGGTTTCCTATCATTTATGACATGACGTTGTTTGCTTATAGGGAACATGAGCGTGAGCGCAACTTTTATTTGAAATATTTACGAACGCTCGTTTTAAAGCGGGAATGCAATTCATTTGCTCACGGTGACACCGATTTGACCGCAAATAATAATAATAATAGCTAACTATTCTTTTTTCCCCGACCAAATGTGACCAAAACGGTTATAAAAATGCTGTCATTATAAAAGGTTTCTTTAATGTATTGCTAGTTTTTTTCTGTTTATTACATTTTATGTTGTGACACTTCTATTCTCCCTGCAACGTCAGAGCGTTCAAAGCGTCCAAAGCGTCAACAAGCTTCCCCGTACTTTTTGACAAGCGTCCTTGACAGGGCGGCCAGAGCTTCTTTGACGCTCAAGTCGGCGGTGTGAACGTACAGTAAGACGAGAGTCAACCTCGGGAAGGCATTCAACAAATGGAGAGATCTCCGGTCTGCTCTTGGTCTCAAACGGGATCCTCAGTTGGCTTTTTTCGTGATAAAACGGTGAGATATAGCCCAGTCTCTAATGTTTGATACTGTCAATCTATGTATGACAACAAATGACGATGCGTAAAATGTGTAATGCTTTAGCGTAAGCTAGATACATGTCCAATCAGAATTGGTTTTACTACCATTGTTAGTGAACAGTTTCATAAACTAGGAATTGTTTTCGGAAGAATAGTACAACATGAAACATAAAACATATCCAATAAAAGATGCGTGTGGTCCATGAGCGTGCACAACTCTAGTTGCAGTTTCGCTTGTCGCCAGAGGGGGCGTAGTTCTGCAAAAACTCAGAGACTTGCGTTTTGCACCTTTAAATAAAAAAAAGTTACAATATAATATGACATTTTTATTTATAATATATTATATTAATTAAACTATTATAAATATGTGTCAAATTTTATCTTGAAAAAAGATTTATTTATTATTAAATTGACACTGTGTTTTCTTTATGCCCACTCATAGGTTACCTTTAGATGCATAAACCTGAAGAGAAACAAAATTAAATAATATAAAAAAAATTGAGCAGTCTCTAAAAAGCAAAATGGGTTACGGTTTGATGCCCTTGATGTAAAATCATGGGTCCTGAAGCGAAACTAGTTGAGAGCCACAGATTTAGTTGAAACTTTTATCCAAAGCAACTTATTACAAGGACAACCCCCTGGAGTAACCTGAGGTCAAGCACGCAATGCTGATCGTTTATATTTCACTCCTTGCTGGGATTAAACCTGCAAACGTGCAGAAATGAATACTTTTATTCAACAAGTCTGCATTAAATTGATAAAAAGTGACAGAAATATTTTGTAATATTTGAAATGTCTTTACTATTTCAACATACACAAAATCCACAAACATATTAAGCAACACAACTGATTTCCATACTGATAATAATAAGAAATGTTTCTTGAGCAGCAAATAATCATATTAGAATGATTTATGAAGGATCATGTGACACTGAAGACTGGAGTAATGATGCTGAAAAGTCAGCTTTGTGTCACAGGAATAAATTACATTTTAAAATATATTCAAATAGAAAATGGTTATTTTAAATTCTAATAATATTTACTGTATTTTGAACAAATAAATGCATCCTTGGTGAGCAAAAATCTTACAAACCCCAAACTTTTGAACGGCAGTGTGTTACGTACAACAAATACTAGCAATTCCTTAAACTGTTTCCATTTTCAAAGCTCTTAAATAAATAAAAACTCAATGAATATCATATTTGATTTATATTACTATATCAGGCCTTATTGAGCATATTTTCAATGGTCACCAGGGTAGCCTGCCAAGAATAAGCAAGCAGTGTATGATTATAAAAAGAAAGCCATCACCATATGTAATATGAACAGAGATGTGCCAGTGGAATCTGTTAAGGATGTATGAATCATGGCAGGTCATGGAGGAGTTCCTCTTGATGATTATATGCAATATTTTATTGAGGCAATTTTCCTATTTTCACAGTTTTATTCATGCTGACAGCTATGGGGCTTTAGGACTATATTCTATATCTCTCATCATCATACTGGGGTCTCTGATCATTTGAGATCCAGCCCTCTGGATATGGAGATGTTTGCAAATAGGAAGATATTGTGCTTGTGTTGAAGCTGAATATCATTTCCAATTTGCATTGCAGTTAAGAAGAGAGCACTTAGCTATAAAAAAACAACATTATTTTGAAGAATTGCTTTTCCATACATTCTCACAGAAAGATGATCTTTGGTGAGCCAGATGTGTTTGAAAACAGCAGATTTGAAGGTTTTTATCAGCAGGGTTTGCCACTCTGACATAATATCTATGTTTGTCAACATATTAAAAAATGATTAAACGGTGTAGGTAAAAAGTTTGTTTAAAAACAAATGCACAACCTCTAATTATAGTTGGCATGAAATGGAAGTTTTCTGTTGCAGGAATGCAACTTCAAAAAGCTCAGTTTTCGAAGTACAAAAACGTTATTGTGAATTGAAACTAAATTATGAAAATTTTGAACCTAGACATTTTATTTTATTACACTCGGGAGTGCTGTAAAATCATCAGCATAATCAAAGTAAGAGAAACTGTCATATTTAATTTGATTCCCATTGTGGAATATTGCAGTGAATGTTAATGTTTTTTTATTATTATGCATGTGTTAGGTCAAATCTCAAGCTGTTTTCTTCTAGTACTTGTCATACTAAGTGCCATGCAATAGTCTTTCAGTTCAAGTGTTATGTGTAAGCATTCAACATTAGGCAGCCAAATACCACTAAATGCCCCTTTAAAAGCAAAGTTATTGAAGAAGAGGTCTCATGTCTAAGCTCAAGGAGTGAACCTTTCAACCGCAAGCTTTTCACATCATCTCACACCTGCCATATCTGTGAATCTGTTGTGACTCAGGTCAAGGTGCTGGAGTTTCTGGTTGCCGATCAGAGCTGGGGACAGGTGTCTGGCCGCTCGCTCATCCAGATGGTTCCCGGAGAGGTTGAGAGAGAATAGGGTAGTGTTTTCCAACAGCATGCTGGACAGAGCCCTGGCTCCATATTCACCCATCCGGTTTTCTGACAAATCAATGTCTGGGAGGGAGAAACACAATCAACTGCATAATCATTCAAAGTTTTACTTTTAAATTTACAACAAAATATCTGAGTTACTACTTTTTTAAATAAGTAATGCAAATTACTTTCTTTCTATTTATTGACTGCATCCTATTCTTCCCCAATCAGGCAGCAACAATTCAATTCACTTTTATTTGTATAATACTTTTCACAATATATGCATGTCTACATTACAATTTAATGTATTTAATTTCCAAATAATGTATTTCAGAAATTGACATATAAGTCACGCAGTTAGCTAACAATGTATTAATTTAAGGTGTTAAACAATGAGCTCATTGAAGTAATTATCACAAGTTGTGAACATAATTAATACAATATAGAATATTTACACAACACAGCTGAAAAATTAGTTTGAGCTGCGCCCTCTACTGTACAGGCGTGGATCTGCATTTCCTTCAGCCTGAGGTCTGTTCATTTCACTTTTGGTGTGAAAGGGCCAGTTTACATTTGCCAAAAATAGAACTTTTGTTTGTTATTAAAAAACAAGCAAGCAAGCCCAGATCAGGTGAGAAAAAGTAACGCAAAAGTAATGTAACGCATTACTTTCCATTAAAAGTAATAAGTAATGCAATTAGTTCCCTTTTTAGGGAGTAACACAATATTGTAACACATTACTTTTAAAAGTTATAAAAGTGACTATTTTTGAAGTTGTAAATAAAACAAAGATTATTGGACCACATTTGACAAGAAAATACTATTTCAGTTTTTCTACTTCCAAATTTCACGCTTAATTCAATGGCTTTGCTTGCCAATTCGTTGTGAAATTTACTAGCAATTTCTGAGAGAACATTGTTTCAAAGTCAATCCTACGCCTTTTTTTCAGTTAAAGTGTGCGTTTAATAAATTATGTTTACGTGATGTTTTGGGGGCTACCGGTATATTCACATCAACAGAATTAACTCATTTCTCATTATTCTATCATTTAAACTGGATCATTTCAATAAAATGTCTCAGACATTTGAACACCGTTGTATGTGCTCAGATATCACAGTGCAGGACAGGAACAATAAAACACCTTGCAAAATACTGGGGGGTTCTAAAAGATTCCAGACTTGTCCGATCACCATGTTCCTCTATAAAATACATGACAAGACTGTCTCGATGAGATCAAATAGACTTGAAGTTCACACTGCTAGTGAATCCCAAATAAAAGTCCAACAGGAACCAAGCCAGTATTGTAAAGTAGAAGCAGTGTGTGCCACTGTCACCTGTGATGTAGCAGTTCTCTTTGAGCATGTCAGCGATGGCAGCGGCACCCGTTCCCTCCATACAATTATCTCGCAGATTCAGTTTCAAGATGGAGATGTTGGTGACCAGAGAAACCGCCAGAGCTTTGGTTCCCTACAGAGGAGAGTTTTTAAAACGTTTAACGTTGTTTTGTTGCCCTTTATGCCGTGTCCACAAAAGCATTTTTTCCTAAAACCCGCGGTTTTTGATTTAAATGGCAGCGCCGTGTTTTTAAAAACGCTAGAACCGCGACAACAGACATGAGTGCAACAGAACTAAAAATCCCATTCATTTTCACAATAGGAGAAGTGATTTTTAACTTATAAACCTTAAAAAAAGACCTTGATGCCTATGGTATATAGTTTTACTGAAGCCATCAGCTCACATTATTTTGACTTATTTTTAAATAATCATGTTTAACAGTGAAGTGGGAATCCTCATGAAAATTAAAATGACATTACTCATGTCATGATTCTGGAATAAAATCTTGAACAATCAGAGAACTGAAACAAACAAATCACGCCAAATAGAGTGCAGCAGTCAGTTCTGGAAATAAAAATTCCATTCATTTTCTTTAAAAGGAAATTGATTTTGAACTATATAAACCTTCAAAGACAGTCCTACTGTAAGCAACGAAGTTGTTAAATAATCGTGTTTAACGCTGCAATTCCTGGTGGAAAACTACGTTACCCATGATGCTGTACAGAAAAATACACCAATCACAGAATCGAAATAAGCATCACCAGAGAATGTCTAATTGGCTTTATTGGACAAACTGATTAATCCAGGTGTGCCTGGCCTCAGTAACAATAATCAGGCACACCTGGATTAATCAGTTTGTCCAATAATGGCAGACAGGAAACAGAGCTGGCTGAAGTTCAGGAAGTAGTGAAGCTGTGCATAAACCTGGCACTGTCTGGTTACTTCCGGTTTCTGGACTGGCTGCAGTAACACGTCTCTGTCCATGCGGGGGCGCTCGCAGGCGAGTGCAGAATGAATGGGAGTCTATGGGGTTTCACCCAAAAGGGGGGGCTAAGATAATACACTCAGCTGAAAATTGCATTTTTAAGTTCACTTATCTGTTCTAAAAATCCGTTCAAAAATGTGATGACGTCACATAATAGCAGAATGCTAGCGTGTTCCGGCCAACAACGGCCTAACCTGTAAGAAATCGAAAGGACATAAGTACTCGTTCATTCGACTTTTGGCCTATAATCTATATTGTACTTGCGGAATCAACAATAAAATCTATGTTGATTCAACGACAAGCAGGAGAAAGAGATACATTTAGCCGTTTAGCTCCATAGACTCCCATTCATTCTGCACTCGCCCGCGATCACCTCCAGTGGAATTCTAACGGAACTGCAACCAATATGATACACAATGGGGCTAATAGGAAGTGCCAAGGCTCTCCGTTAGACGGGCTCTGGCATCACGCTCCAAAATACCTCGTTAGCCCCGCCCACTCCCATGAAGCACTGCGAATGGCGTAATCGAGTCGATCTCTCTGCGGTCTCTAAATACTGAAATGTTAGTATATATAAGCATAATTTGCAATAAACTTACAATATAGTGTTTTTATACATATAATCAAAATTTGTAAATGAGTAGTTTTATATTTCTCCATCGTTTTTAATTCAATTATGCTGTTCACAATGCTTCATTGTAGTTCTTTCCCTCACTAAAGCCGTCTGGCATTAAATCTGTTTATTTGCTCTTACCTGTGATCCCAATCCATAATGCATCATGTTGATTTCACTCTGTTTCATATTTCGGAGGAAGTAGGATACAGGAATTACGTTCAGCATCTTACAAGCCTCTTTGTAAGCAGACTGGCCTGTAGGGTCATATGCTTGTTTTTCATCTAAAACACAATAAGAATTGGTTTAATACCTCTTGTATAAATTATGCAAATTGGTAAAATATTGACAGTTGCAATGAAGATGAAAGCAAAATTTCAAAATCAGTACAGACAAACACAGACAAGAACCAAGGATGTTATAAATGGTTGGACCATTGCATTGCTATGCGGTTGCTAAAGTGTTCTAAGTGATGTTTAGAGTGTGTTTCTATGTGGTTTCTAGGGTGTACTAGCCCAAGCAATGAGTCAAGGTTTGGACAGTTAGCATGTCTAGTTATCCATTTCACTTAATGGGTTAGTCCACCCACAAATTAAAATTACCCTCACCCTCATGTCGTTCCAATCCGTTCATCTTCAGAACACAAATGAAGATCCTTTTTATGAAATCTGAGAGCTTTCTGTCCCTCCATTGACAGCTACGCAACTACCACTTTGATGTTTCAAAAAGTTCAAAGAGATCGTAAAACGAATCCATATGAATCGAACGGTTTAGTCCAAATTTTCTGAAGAGACTTGATCGCTTTAGATGATAAACAGATTTTATTTAGTCTTTTATTCACATATAAACATTCATCAACTCACACATCAGTAAACGGATGTTCGATTGAGGTGCGAGAACCAATGAGGTTCATTCTCGTGTTACGCAGCACGTTTGAGCTTCTGCAAGAACCAATGAGGTTCATTCTCGTGTTACGCAGCACGTTTGAGCTTCTGCAAGAACCAATGAGGTTCAGTCTCGTGTTACGCAGCACGTTTGAGCTTCTGCAAGAACCAATGATGTTCAGTCTCGTGTTACGCAGCACGTTTGAGCTTCAGCAAGAACTTGTCATGATTCTGCCATCATGTTATTGATTATTCCTAGTCTTGTGGCAGGATCATGACAGAACCAATGTTTTGTGTACAAGGCGCATGGCCAATTGTTTGACCATGTGCTTGTGTTGTCTCGTTACGTTACCCCGCCCCCTTGTTATCTCGTCTCGTCATTATTGTCTAGTCAGTTTCACCTGTCTTTGTCATTTGTGTCTCCCTATTTAATCCCCTTGTGTTTGCTGTCCTGGGTCGGTACATTGTCTAACTTTGCGTGTATATCCCTGTGAGTATTTAACCTGTAAACCTGTTCAATTAATTGTGAGTTTGCTTCTTGTCAAGTCAGAACCTTGTTAGTCATCGTGTCTTAGTTTTGTTGTACTCTGCTCCAGTCCTGTTTTGCCCCCTCGTGGGTTTTGTTTTCTCTGTTTTCTGTTTATAATAAACTTAGTTTCACTGCATCCTGTCTGCGCTTGGGTTCACCCGCTAACTTCATGACAGAATGTACCGACCATCAAAGAAACCAGCAGACAGTATGTCCTTCCAATCGGAGTTCCGGAAGCGATGCTGGTCGTCCGCACCAACCAACGGTGAACGGGTCATTTGCCCTATCCCGTCCCAGGGTGAGCAGATCATGAGGGATTATGCCCGTCTATGGGATCTCTTTTCCCGGGAGGATCTGCAGGTCTCTTCCACGGGCTCTCCACCCTTTGCTAGTCTGCCGGTGATCCCGGAGGGTCGTGTTATAGGCGTCGCGACGCTTGGGGACCAGGCTGGCTCCCTCACGACTCCTGGCACTTCATCTACCCCCTTCAGTCTTCGTGGAAAACGAGGAAGACGGCTGTCGTGGGAGTCGGCGTCAGAGTCCTCCTCCGCTGAGTCTGCTGTACCTGCGGTGGTTTCCGCTGAGCTTCCCCAACCCGTCTCAGCTCCGGCGATGGTCTCTGCTTCGCGACCTAGGAGAAAGAGGAGGAAGAGGGGAGCCTCCCGTTCTTCGCCCGCTGCAGTCACAGAGCCCGCTGCAGTCACAGAGCCCGCTGCAGTCACAGAGCCCGCTGCAGTCACAGAGCCCGCTGCAGTCACAGAGCCCGCTGCAGTCACAGAGCCCGCTGCAGTCACAGAGCCCGCTGCAGTCACAGAGCCCGCTGCAGTCACAGAGCCCGCTGCAGTCACAGAGCCCGCTGCAGTCACAGAGCCCGCTGCAGTCACAGAGCCCGCAACTTCAAGCGCCGTCCGTGAGCCCGCTCCAGCAAGCGCCGTCCCAGAATCTACTGAGAGACTGGCGGCCGATCTAGCCGCAAAAGAGGTTCTGAAATCGGTTTCTGCTCATCAGGAGATGCCCATCTTCCTTGCTGCCAAGACCCTCTCTGATTATTTGTCCTGTCTAGCTAAGATCCTCGAAGTCCCTGTCTGTCCGACTTGTCCCCAGTCCCCGAGCCTGGCGCTGCACCCAGTCCTGCCCCTTCGCCTGCTATGTCCCCCGTCAGGAGTCCCGTTTCCTCACCCTCTGTCTCTGAATCTGTTGCTGCTACCACTGAAGCAGTATTCCAGTCTGTTCTCCCGGTCTCCCCTGTCTCCACTAATTCCCGGACTGTTTCTCCGTTCGTCCCTGTCTCCACCAGCCCCCGGACTGTTTCCCCGTTTGTCCCTGTCACCAATAGTTCCCGGACTGTTTTCCCTGTCTCCACTAAGCCCCGGACTGTTTCCCCCAAGACCTCTCCTCGTGTGTCTCCGTCTAAACCTGCCCAGAGTCCTCGTCCTCAGCCCTCATCCCGTGGACCCAAGAACCCCAGTCCTCCCATCCACCCTGGACCTCCCCCCATGAACTCTGTGTTTCCTCCACCTCCTTTGCCTTGTATGTTGTTTTTGATGTTTCACCCTAACCCTGTTATTGTTTATTCATGTATGCCGCTTTTAGTGTTTTCCATGTTTTGTTGGTTTTTGTCAATGTCTCGTTCCGTCTTGTCTTGTGCTTAGTGTCCCTTTGAGGAGCGTCTGGTAGCCGCTCCTTAAAGTGGGGGTTCTGTCATGATTCTGCCATCATGTTATTGATTATTCCTAGTCTTGTGGCAGGATCATGACAGAACCAATGTTTTGTGTACAAGGCGCATGGCCAATTGTTTGACCATGTGCTTGTGTTGTCTCGTTACGTTACCCCGCCCCCTTGTTATCTCGTCTCGTCATTATTGTCTAGTCAGTTTCACCTGTCTTTGTCATTTGTGTTTCCCTATTTAATCCCCTTGTGTTTGCAGTCCTGGGTCGGTACATTGTCTAACTTTGCGTGTATATCCCTGTGAGTATTTAACCTGTAAACCTGTTCAATTAATTGTGAGTTTGGTTCTTGTCAAGTCAGAACCTTGTTAGTCATCGTGTCTTAGTTTTGTTGTACTCTGCTCCAGTCCTGTTTTGCCCCCTCGTGGGTTTTGTTTTCTCTGTTTTCTGTTTATAATAAACTTAGTTTCACTGCATCCTGTCTGCGCTTGGGTTCACCTGCTAACTTCATGACAGAACTAATGAGGTTCATTCTCGTGTTACACAGCACGTTTGAGCTTCTGCAAGAACCAATGAGGTTCAGTCTCGTGTTACGCAGCACATTTGAGCTTCAGCAAGAACTAATGAGGTTCATTCTCGTGTTACACAGCACGTTTGAGCGTCCTCAAGAACCAATGAGGTTCAGTCTCGTGTTACACAGCACGTTTGAGCGTCCTCAAGAACCAATGAGGTTCATTCTCATGTTACGCAGCACGTTTGAGCTTCTGCAAGAACCAATGACGTTCAGTCTCGTGTTACGCAGCACGTTTGAGCTTCTGCAAGAACCAATGAGGTTCATTCTCATGTTACGCAGCACGTTTGAGCGTCCTCAAGAACCAATGAGGGTCATTCTCGTGTTAAGCAGCACGTTTGAGCTTCTGCAAGAACCAATGAGGTTCAGTCTCGTGTTACGCAGCACGTTTGAGCTTCTGCAAGAACCAATGAGGTTCATTCTCGTGTTATGCAGCACGTTTGAGCGTCCTCAAGAACCAATGAGGTTCATTCTCGTGTTACACAGCACGTTTGAGCTTCCTCAAGAACTAATGAGGTTCATTCTCATGTTACGCAGCACGTTTGAGCTTCTGCAAGAACCAATGAGGTTCAGTCTCGTGTTACGCAGCACGTTTGAGCTTCCTCAAGAACTAATGAGGTTCATTCTCGTGTTATGCAGCACGTTTGAGCTTCCTCAAGAACCAATGAGGTTTATTCTCGTGTTACGCAGCACGTTTGAGCTTCCTCAAGAACCAATGAGGTTCATTCTCGTGTTACGCAGCACGTTTGAGCTTCTGCAAGAACCAATGAGGTTCATTCTCATGTTACGCAGCACATTTGAGCTTCTGCAAGAACCAATGAGGTTCATTCTCGTGTTATGCAGCACGTTTGAGCGTCCTCAAGAACCAATGAGGTTCATTCTCGTGTTATGCAGCACGTTTGAGCGTCCTCAAGAACCAATGAGGTTCAGTCTCGTGTTACGCAGCACGTTTGAGCTTCAGCAAGAACTAATGAGGTTCATTCTCGTGTTACACAGCACGTTTGAGCGTCCTCAAGAACCAATGAGGTTCATTCTCGTGTTACGCAGCACGTTTGAGCGTCCTCAAGAACCAATGAGGTTCATTCTCATGTTACGCAGCACGTTCGAGCTTCTGCAAGAACCAATGAGGTTCAGACTCGTGTTACACAGCACGTTTGAGCTTCCTCAAGAACTAATGAGGTTCATTCTCGTGTTATGCAGCACGTTTGAGCTTCCTCAAGAACCAATGAGGTTTATTCTCGTGTTACGCAGCACGTTTGAGCTTCCTCAAGAACCAATGAGGTTCATTCTCGTGTTACGCAGCACGTTTGAGCTTCTGCAAGAACCAATGAGGTTCATTCTCATGTTACGCAGCACATTTGAGCTTCTGCAAGAACCAATGAGGTTCATTCTCGTGTTATGCAGCACGTTTGAGCGTCCTCAAGAACCAATGAGGTTCATTCTCGTGTTATGCAGCACGTTTGAGCGTCCTCAAGAACCAATGAGGTTCAGTCTCGTGTTACGCAGCACGTTTGAGCTTCAGCAAGAACTAATGAGGTTCATTCTCGTGTTACACAGCACGTTTGAGCGTCCTCAAGAACCAATGAGGTTCATTCTCGTGTTACGCAGCACGTTTGAGCGTCCTCAAGAACCAATGAGGTTCATTCTCATGTTACGCAGCACGTTTGAGCTTCTGCAAGAACCAATGAGGTTCAGACTCGTGTTACACAGCACGTTTGAGCTTCCTCAAGAACTAATGAGGTTCATTCTCGTGTTATGCAGCACGTTTGAGCTTCCTCAAGAACCAATGAGGTTCAGACTCGTGTTACACAGCACGTTTGAGCTTCCTCAAGAACTAATGAGGTTCATTCTCATGTTACGCAGCAAGTTTGAGCTTCTGCAAGAACCAATGAGGTTCAGACTCGTGTTACGCAGCACGTTTGAGCGTCCTCAAGAACCAATGAGGTTCAGACTCGTGTTATGCAGCACGTTTGAGCGTCCTCAAGAACCAATGAGGTTCATTCTCATGTTACGCAGCACGTTTGAGCTTCTGCAAGAACCAATGAGGTTCATTCTCATGTTACGCAGCACGTTTGAGCTTCAGCAAGAACCAATGAGGTTCAGTCTCGTGTTACGCAGCACGTTTGAGCTTCTGCAAGAACCAATGAGGTTCATTCTCATGTTACGCAGCACGTTTGAGCTTCTGCAAGAACCAATGAGGTTCATTCTCGTGTTATGCAGCACGTTTGAGCGTCCTCAAGAACCAATGAGGTTCATTCTCGTGTTACACAGCACGTTTGAGCGTCCACAAGAACCAATGAGGTTCATTCTCGTGTTACGCAGCACGTTTGAGCTTCCTCAAGAACTAATGAGGTTCATTCTCGTGTTATGCAGCACGTTTGAGCGTCCTCAAGAACCAATGAGGTTCATTCTCGTGTTACGCAGCACATTTGAGCGTCCTCAAGAACCAATGAGGTTCATTCTTGTGTCACGCAGCACGTTTGAGCTTCTGCAAGAACCAATGAGGTTCAGTCTCGTGTTACGCAGCACGTTTGAGCTTCCTCAAGAACCAATGAGGTTCATTCTCGTGTCACGCAGCACGTTTGAGCTTCCTCAAGAACCAATGAGGTTCATTCTCGTGTTACGCACTGCAGCACGTTTGTCAATGTTTAAATGTAAATAAAAGCATAAATTCAATCTGTTCATAAAGCGATCAAATCTCTTCAGAAAATTTGAACTAAACCATTCAATTCATATGGATTATAGTTTTACGATCTCTTTGTGAACTTTTTGAAGCTTCAAAGTTGCGTAGGCTGTGAATGAAGGGACAGAAATTTCTCAGATTTCATTCAAATATCGAAGTAAAAATATAAAATTAAATAAAAAAGTATATTTCTCCATTGATGGCCATTCAAAACATACATATTTTTTGTAAGCAGCAAATAAATTGCAGATATTTTAATGTATTATAGTCAATATTTTGGAGCACTTTTAAAAGAATAAAAATCTATATCTAAAAATTGTAATACAATATTATAATTTAGTGTTATTTTAAGTGCTATTTTATACAAACAATATATTTGTAAATATATGAATATATTGATATATAAGTAATAATAATAATACTTTTTATTTATAATTCACTTTTCTCATTTTAAAGTGCTACAATACAAGAAATACAAATCTAATATAATTACAAAACAACAAAAGTAATAATAAATCGTAAAAAAAAACTGCGTAGAATCTGATTGTCTGTAGCACAAACAGTGCGGGGACAAATTACTCATTGAAGTTTAAAACATAAAATTAGGGGTCTACTATTATTGTTATGAGCAAAAATAATAATGATGCTTTCCTCAGCAAGCGCCGTTAATCAGTCGATACAGAAGATAACCAGTGGCGTATTAACACATGCAACCTTACAGCTCAACTGAGATGAACTGCTGTGACTTTGTAAACCAAATACGACAACAGTGTATCATTGTTTCTCATTGAGATGCGCAATTATCATGAATGTGGAAAATTCCCAAGCCATTCATTAAGCTACAGTATGCGGAGGCACACAGCAGTAATCTAGCAGATGGCTATCTCTAATAAGCTGAATAAACAGCCATCAGAGAGATAGTGAGAGATGGATCGAGCCGTGATTTATGTATATGTAGAGGATTGTGTAGGTGTTTCGGTATCTGCAGAACAAGCAGGTGAAAAATGAGAGAGAGAGAGAGAGAGAGAGAGAGAGAGAGAGAGAGAGAGAGAGAGAGAGAGAGAGAGAGAGAGAGAGAGAGAGAGAGAGAGAGAGAGAGAGAGAGAGAAGCCTGTCTGAAATTACAAGCATGACTCATGACCGTTTGCCTGTTTTATTCCCCATTGAGTGGAAACATCATATTCTCTGCCCCTTAGCTCTTTGACACCCTCTATCAGAACGTGCATCACCCACGCCCCCCACCACCCCCCCAACCAGCCCACTCTCTCTCTCTTGCTCTTTCTCTCTCTGTTCATATTCACACTTTCACTTTTAATAAGAACTCACTGCGAAATCTGCTGAGTTCCAGGTCTATGTCAAAATCTTGGTCAGCGATGGCACACTCTTCCTCCTGCTGCTGTCCATCACCTGGGAGGCCTCGACCTTCATCCACCTCGTCTTCTTCATTTGTATAATCTTCGTCCTGTTGGGCCATTCTTATGCTTTGATGCTGGCTGGGGGATCTAGGCACTCTCTGAGCAGAAGGATGCACATTTTCAGGCAGGGAATATGCTCAGAAATTATAACTCATTAGCCGTCTGTCCAAAGTTGTACTATTTTGTCTAATAAGTCTTATTAACCCTCAAACTTTTTCAACATTATTAAAAACATTCTAATAAGACTTTGTTGCTGATAACATTTCCATCCATCCATCTATCTGTCTGTCTGTCGTGTTATTGTTCACTTGTCTACAAGTCGTATAAACCTCTAAACTTTTTCAAGGCTTTTTCAACCTTATTCAAAACTTTCTAACAAGACTTTCTTCCATCCATCCATCCATCCATCCATCCATCCATCCATCCATCCATCCATCCATCCATCCATCCATCCATCCATCCATCCATCCATCCATCCATCCATCAATCATCTATCTATCTATCTATCTATCTATCTATCTATCTATCTATCTATCTATCTATCTATCTATCTATCTATCTATCTATCTATCTATCTATCTATCTATCTATCTATCTATCTATCTATCTATCTATCTATCTATCTATCTATCTATCTATCTATAATCTATCTATCTCTATCTATCTTTCCATCCATCGTTCACTTGTCAACAAGTCTTATAAACCTTTAAACTTTTTCAAGGCTTTTTCAACCTTATTAAAAACTTTCTAACAAGACTTTATTCCATCCATCCATCCATCCATCCATCCATCCATCCATCCATCCATCCATCCATCCATCCATCCATCCATCCATCCATCCATCCATCCATCCATCCATCGTTAACTTCACTTGTCAACAAGTCTTATAAACCTTTAAACTTTTTCAAGGCTTTTTCAACCTTATTCAAAACCTTCTATCAAGACTTTATTCCATCCATCCATCAAACTTATTCAAGACTTTATTTTTTTTCTATAAAACAAATTTCTATAAATAACATTTCCATCCACGCATCCATGCATACTCAAAACTTTCCAATAAGACCTTGTCAAGCCAACGTTCCAAACAAACTTGTCAAACTTTGCTGTTCAGTTAAACATTACAGTTATATGAATTCTGAATGGTGCACAATTCTATCATTTTACTTCGACAAAGTGACATATTTCCAAATGAAACATTCTGTGAGGGGAAAAAAAACATACTGTAAGGGTAGAAATTGATTTTTTTGGATTGTGTAAAGTGCCAGATAGCAGAATGGAGCTGCAGATGGTTTGTGGTGAGTGGTTGAAAAGTAACTGTGTGTGCCCACTGGTGCTGAGATGAGCGGGCGTTTACTATTCATTTTCTATGGGAGCTGAGCGACAGGCTCATGCGGGGGATTGTGGGATTGACAACGGTGAGAGCACCAAAAAGTTGAGAAAACCTAAACTATATACAATGAGACATAAACAAACACTGGGCCATCACTTTCCAATCAAGCTCAAAATTATGCTGATGATATAGTGTGAGTTTCTGATGAATTTGGTGCTTAAATTACATCATTATATACAGGTATCCAAAAACATGTAGGGGTCTTCTTTTGAAAGAAGTCTATTATGCTCACCAAGGCTGTATTTATTTGATAAAAAATCCGGTAAACAGAAATATTCCAAAATATCATTACATTTAAAAAAAACTTTTTTTTTTTTTTTTTTTTTTATATTACATTAAATGTAATTTATTCCTGTGATAGCAAAGCTGAATTTTCAGTATTATTACTCCAGTCTTCAGTCACATGATCCTTCAGAAATCTTTCTAGTCTAGCTGGAGAAATAGGTTCCCATGTACCCGTTTGTCATTTTTTTGTAACCTTTTTTGTCAAAAATTCTAAACTAGACACCATTAGGGTCCCAAAAAATGCCAAAAGGGTGCATGGGAACCTACACTCACCTAAAGGATTATTAGGAACACCACACTAATATTGTGTTTGACCCCCTTTCGCCTTCAGAACTGCCTTAATTCTACGTGGCATTGATTCAACAAGATGCTGAAAGCATTCTTTAGAAATGTTGGCCCATATTGATAGGATAGCATCTTGCAGTTGATGGAGATTTGTGGGATGCACATCCAGGGCACGAAGCTCCCGTTCCACCACATCCCAAAGATGCTCTATTGGGTTGAGATCTGGTGACTGTGGGGGCCATTTTAGTACAGTGAACTCATTGTCATGTTCAAGAAACCAATTTGAAATGATTCGAGCTTTGTGACATTATCCTGCTGGAAGTAGCCATCAGAGGATGGGTACATGGTGGCCATAAAGTGATGGACATGGTCAGAAACAATGCTCAGGTAGGCCGTGGCATTTAAACGATGCCCAATTGGCACTAAGGGGCCTAAAGTGTGCCAAGAAAACATCCCCCACACCATTACACCACCACCACCAGCCTGCACAGTGGTAACAAGGCATGATGGATCCATGTTCTCATTCTGTTTACGCCAAATTCTGACTCTACCATCTGAATGTCTCAACAGAAACCGAGACTCATCAGACCAGGCACCATTTTTCCAGTCTTCAACTGTCCAATTTTGGTGAGCTCTTGCAAATTGTAGCCTCTTTTTCCTATTTGTAGTGGAGATGAGTGGTACCCGGTGGGGTCTTCTGCTGTTGTAGCCCATCCGCCTCAAGGTTGTGCGTGTTGTGGCTTCACAAATGCTTTGCTGCATACCTCGGTTGTAACGAGTGGTTATTTCAGTCAAAGTTGCTCTTCTATCAGCTTGAATCAGTCGGCCCATTCTCCTCTGACCTCTAGCATCAACAAGGCATTTTCGCCCACAGGACTGCCGCATACTGGATGTTTTTCCCTTTTCACACCATTCTTTGTAAACCCTAGAAATGGTTGTGCGTGAAAATCCCAGTAACTGAGCAGATTGTGAAATACTCAGACCGGCCCGTCTGGCACCAACAACCATGCCACGCTCAAAATTGCTTAAATCACCTTTCTTTCCCATTCTGACATTCAGTTTGGAGTTCAGGAGATTGTCTTGACCAGGACCACACCCCTAAATGCATTGAAGCAACTGCCATGTGATTGGTTGATTAGATAATTGCATTAATGAGAAATTGAACAGGTGTTCCTAATAATCCTTTAGGTGAGTGTATATGTCCTGCTAAACTATTCTAATATGCTGATTTGCTGCTTAAGAAACATTTCTTATCATTATCAATGTTAAAAACAGTTGTGCTGCTCTCTGCTCAAGATTTTTTTTGCATTTACAGCATCTATTTTTAAATTTCGACAAATGTCTTTACTGTCACTTTTGATCAATTAAAATTTTAATCCATCCTTGCTGAATAAAACCCTTTCTTTAATTCAGATGCCATTTGGACGCTTTTATGGTGGTTATATTTAGGCTGGGTCAAAAAGTATTGACACTGTATGTTTACTTTGAGTATTCGTAAATTAAGTTTGCATTTTCTACCCCTCAATTAAATGAATGCATATTTATTGACTGTGTATTGAAAGTATTCATAAACCATACTGAAGACATTCACACTCACTACTTCAGCAACAGTGGACACGATAGAAGGGATTTGGGATTTCAGAAACCAGTGTTCAACCTATCCTAGGCTAAACCATGCCACTTCCCCTAAACCCTAAAATCCAATTGGTTGAAAGGAAGTGAGGATCCAGGAACATGTGCTAGTCATCATGTGTTTTCTACCATACAAGCATAAGAAACAGAGAAACACTTTACAATAAGGTTTGATTTGTTAACATTAGTTAACTACATCAGTTAACATGAACTAATGAACAATTCTTCTGCAGCATTTATTAATCTTAGTGAATGTTAATTTCTACATTTACAAAAGTTGCATTTGTTAACATTAGATAATGCACGGTGAACTAACATGAACATTAACATTTTTATTAACATTAACAAAGATGAATAAATGCTGTAAGAATATATTGTTAAGAAAGTGTTAACAGAAATGGTGAAATATGAGCATGGACACTCACTTGGCCATCAACACTTCCTCTGCTGTAGACACTTCTGGGTCTGCTGACCGGCCTGCTCGCAATTCCACCCAAATCCTCTTCTTTTCCTCCTTCATCTCCATTATCTTCACACACAGATGGAAGAATACTTTCTTTTGTCATCTTTTTACCCGCAACCATTCTGGGTATGTTTTGAGACTTTGTGATTGTTTTGTTCAAACTAAATCACATTTGATTCACTCTGCTTTCCCAAGTCAGACAAGATCGATATCCTTCAATTAAATCAAATCTATGAGAAAGCAAATCAGTGCAGTGTTGTCTCCTGTTGCCCCAGACTAACCTGCTCTGTCGGAGGGTCATGTTTGACTGACAGTCACTTTGACTAATTGTAGAGCTGCATTTTTGGACAGTTTGTCCAATCATCAGTGGAGCCTGAACAGCGAGGGTGGGCTATTGTTCAGCTCATTTGTTTTGTTGACTGGTTTCCATGGTGTTACTTCTCCTCTCATAAAGCTGTTCTCAATCTTTTTCTGCAGTGTAAGAGAGATAAACAATTAAATAAAACTAAGAACATACTTCTCCCGTCAGTACAGATATCAGCTTCATTAGAAAAACTAAATAACCAGCTGCTCTCTACACAATTTAAATTAAATATAATTTTATAATTCATATATATATATATATATATATATATATACAGAGAGAGAGAGAGAGAGAGTGTGTGTGTGTGTGTGTGTATTGTTTTATGGTGCGTAACTCGGCACCTTTACCTTATTTTTATTATTCTGCAGGTTTGGTAAGTTGAATCGGACCTAAATTATAAGCATTTTAAAATACTTACAATACGTACCAAAGACTTCTCCGTGGTCTTTTCTGGCTTATAAATCAATGCCCCGGGAGGCAGACGTTATAAAAATAATCAATGTATTTATTACAATTAGTATCTCTAGCAGTACAAGTATTCTACAAATACATAAGTATTAAGCAAAGTACAAATATCAAAACGTTTTCCAATCAAGGCAATATCAGTGATGGTTCTGGCGCCAGAGAAGCTCTTCAGGTGTTCACAAGCAGCATATGAGTGTCACTATCGTCGTCACAGATATTTAAAGATAAATTAGTCACCAAATGAGGTCATCTAGACTGAACGCCTCCTTTTAAAGGGCCTTTTTTATGTGTTCTCCTGCTCATTTGGCGAGTTCCTCTCCTTTTGTCGGCATCACTTTTCATTCAACAGTTGCTCTAATACATGTTTTCTTCTCTACTTCATAAGTCATAGAGTGATATGTAGAGTGGTCTCATCCTTATCTCTTTGACCTTATATTTAACTCTGTACAGCCGCTTACTTGCACACATGTATTACTCGGCATCACTCTCCAGCCTAAAGGTCACAGCTGACAGCACTACTGGGAGAATACTATAAGACATGAATATTATATTCATTGTATTATAAAATAAAATCCCTATGTAACAGTTACATCATTACCCATATGAAAAGGCTTTTCGGGAAAAAAAAAACATTATACAGTACATAATATATTAGCTAAATATGTCCAACAATGAGGGGGATTTTATTCTTATGCATTTTAAACAACAATATATTCATTCTATGTTTTTATGGCCTATATATCTTTTATTGTATATTTATTTTTAAATAATTTGTAATCCCCACCACTTATTTATATTTACTAAATAGTCTTTATATCATTTATTTTTTATCTAAAATGTCTGAACTAAAAATATATTTTAGTTTTTCTTTTGCATGGTTACATTTTAAAGATCTTTTTTTTCTTTCAAATTTAGTACGGCAACATTTAGTATGTGTCTTTTTCTCCAAAAGAATTTTAAAATGAATATCTGAGACCAAATTGTCACTCGATGGGCAAATATGGGCTCGATGTAGAATTTAGAAACCCTTGTTATTAGCGACACCGGTGGCCGTTAGGTGAACTGCAGCCAGCAACTTATTGCTCACAATCGTGCACACGAAATAAACGAGACTGGATGTGATTCAAGTAAATTTTGATGAGGTAGGTTAGGTTAACAGGGGTTCTCAAAGTTTTGATAGGTGAGGGCCAATTTAGGAACCCAACATTGAACTGAGGGCCGCCAAAGTGGCGGGGGAGAAAACGAAGAAAAAAAAAACTGAAAAGAAAATCCCATTTGAAATTATTTTAATGACCAGGTTGCATCTCTACAGTTTACATTAGTTGCAATAAACACATTTTAATTCATAACTGAGGCTAAACCTGGCAAAACTTGTGAAAATTTTGGGGGGGAGAGAAAGAAACTTTTAAAATAGAAGCTTACCAAACAAGTCATCATCATCATTCATTTCTATCATTGCTTGTCAGTCGCGTTTCCATTATTGCAGATTTGCATATTATTATCTTTCTTTTTTAACCCGTAACTGAAAAACGAAAAATGAACGGTTGTTGTCTTTTTAAAACGCAAAGTTGAACAAAATTTTAATTTGAACTGGCTTCACCAACTGCTGCGCAAAAAAAGCAAATATCGACAGACTTTTTCAGATTTTTGTTTAAATGACTTTCTGCCCCATTTATTAAACATTTTAAATATTCACAAATTAATATGGAAAACATGTCGATTTTACTGGTTTTCTAAGGCCAAATTAGAACCTGGAATTTATATTTTTCCCGCAGTGATGAATGAGAAGAGCCATATAGCCTGTAACTTACGTGTCTGATCTAGCCTGATTTATAGGTGAGTTATAGGCTAATGATAATAAATGCGTCTGAAAAAACAGCGAGGCATTTTAATTGTTTATTAATAAACTATTGTTTTCTAAGTGTCGGCTAAAAACATATCTCCATCTCCGCTGTTAAGCAGATGCGCTTTTAGAGAGAAATCCACCTTTCATACGGATTACATAATCAGGTATTTGCTTTCGATTCGAGTTTGTTTGTTTAAAAGTGCACATTTTAAGCTTTAGCCTACATAGGCTATATTTTGTTTCAGTTCTCGCGCTCCAGTTCACGGAGATCATGAAAGCGCGTAGTAGCCTAGGCTACTGATTGTTTTATTTTATTTTACAAAAGCACGTTTTACTTGTTATGAGTTTACACAAATAAAAGTAGTTGCGAATAATGCATTATTATTTTCTGTATGACCAGAAATGATAGACTATTTTAAGTTGTTTCCACTGTTGATAGGAAAATGCAAGTGTTCGCGCCCGCGAACATTTTGAAAGGTAGGCTAATGGAAACGCGGCTATTAATAAGCTTGACATTGTTAAGATTATTATTAAGTCACATTGAATATTGATTACTTGGTCAACATACCCTTTTAAATTGCAATGGGATTTGTGGTGCTGGTTTCGGTTGGCCACGATTCCTATTCCTGTGTAGACAACCACTGTTCCTGGTGGCCTTGGGAGTGAGGTCAAGTGCGATCGGTCGGTCGGACCATGTAATTACCGCGTATGCCTATGGATGCCGCTAAACACCACTAAACGGAGATATTCATTTTTTCAAAGCAATAGTTTTAACAGTTTTACAGATGTTATCGCGGGCCGCCAGAAATGTTTCGGCGGGCCGCCATTGGCCCGCGGGCCGCACTTTGAGAACCTATAAGGGTTAAAGAAGTATAGATAGACCTGAAAATATGCTTTCTTATTCATTAAATGTGGTCAGTAAAGTCCCCCTGTGGTAAAAATTACGTTTTTAATGTTGTTTATATGTTTAAGTGGTGTTTTTAATATGCTTTAAAACAAACCTCAAATTACAGTGAACTCGCAAGAGAAGCCAGATTATCCTGATATATTTTTCTGTTGAAAAATCGGGTAGATTTAGCAATATATCAGGTGTATAATGTATATTACGATGTTATGATGAACTATATGCCTTTCTCCACTGACTGAGTTCAAAGAGTGTCTGATGATTGTGTTTAAGATGATTGTAAAAAGGCAGACTGAGATGGCGAACGGGAACATAGTTTGTGTAACATTAGCAACACATTATTAGCTTGATAACATAGTCAAGCAAATGGCTAATCATATTAATTACCTTTATGAGTCAGACGTGGTAAAGAGCGATACCATTGAGCAGCGTTTGGCTTACCTCAGTAAATTGACCCTGATGTGACTGGAGGCGGAGCTAATCTGCATATTCATAGTTCCTCCTAAATGAAGCAAGAGTTACAATCAAGCTATTTTAAGGCAAGCTATTTCACAGGATATATTTTTTTAAATATGTAATTTAATAAAATTATTGACTACAGGGGAATTTTAAATAATTTGAATCATTTAAAACTTGAAGGCTACTGTAAGGCCAGCTGAAGCAGAGAAATCCTGCGCCTCTTTAATCATACGCCTCGGCCCTAACCTCTCACTGTGCTCCTCCTCCTTCACTTTTCCTCCAGATCACCCTAGATATTTTTAAGTTTGGGTCTGTGCATCAAACTCTCGAAACGGTCCTTTTTCGTTCTTCGCTTAGAAGTAAAAAGTTGAAAATACCTTTGCAGCAATATACTGTTAATGAACAATCCCGACATTTATGTGCTGCACACTTTCCTCTCAATAACAAAATAAATATACAATGACAGTGGTGAGAAAGCAGCAGTTAAGAAAGCATCAGATCATAGCGATGTGGATATGTTTGTGGATCCACACCGGCATCATGTCGACAGATGAGGTAATTCAAATTAGTTATGGTAGTTTGATTATAAAGTATGTTTGAAACTAAAGGCTATAGATCTGGCTATGTGAGATTATAGTTCTAAATAATCCCTTTTCTTTGCAGGACACATTGAAATTACAGTACAGAATAGCTCTTTCAGCATTATCCTGAACATTGTATAAGCATTCATTAAATGCGTCATAAGGAAGAGAGGGTCTCTGGAGCGCACGTAAACGTCACATCATTTTGATTTTCCCAATGTCCCCGAGTCCTTTTAATAAAAATCAGTCGACATGCTTTCATAGACAACGTAGAAAGTCAAGGAAGGACTTGTTTTTTTAAAGTTTTGTTACAAGCCGTTCACACATCGTCAACAAGAAAGCGATTAATACATTACATTTTTCTCTTTACATGACACACCGTAATCTCCTTAACTCAAATTGTCACATATTCTTTTCTGCATTACAAAATGTCTTAAATGAACAGCAAAGAACTTCAAGTCTTGACATACAAATGTTTTTTATTATTAAGTAGATGCAAAGTTCTTGCAGTATATGCATTAAAATGGCAAATGTTTCAATGTTCAAAGTTCTACAATAGAAGATTCACACCGGAAATTGATTGGAACAGTTTCTTTTAGCAGCAGCAAAGAACAAACACAAAAACAGTCAACAAAATCCCGTAAGCTTCTTCACCGTCCAGTCACAGAGGAAGGGGGCGATCACAACAGTTCAACAGACACAGTGCAGGTTAAGAGAAAAACAGGACGGTAACATCATGCATTCAGCATAATAATGCTTCAGGTTCCCCCAAACCAAGACCTCATA